ATGTAATCAAGTGGAAGGATGTCGTGTTTTGTGAATTAAGAACAATTCGTGAGATGTAATTCATTCATTCATTAAATCACACTCTCACTCACAGTCATTCATTACTTGAATGACACCGCCTCCGTGGTGTAGTGGTTAGAGCATCCGCACGGAGAGCGGAAGATCGCGGGTTCGATCCCCGACCGCGTCATACCAAAAGACGTTAAAATATGGTACTTGTTGGTCCCTGCCTGGCGCTCGGCATTAATGGGTACAACAAGGACTGGTCGGCTAGGAGTCAGTATAATGTGTCTGAGAGGGGTATTCATGCTTCACTGCGGCATGGTATCTCAGTGGGCTAGCACTATAAAACCAGCCAAAGTCTGGGCTAGTACAAGCAGCCGCACATACACACGCATGCACGTCGTCATATGAGCGAAATATTCTCAAGCACGACGTTAAATCCAGTTTCACCTCACCTCACTATATTAATGAAACTTTGTGGGAATGTTTTATCCTTATTATTACTATTATTACTATTATTGTTATTGTTGTTACTGTTACTTTCTTTAAGTAAAGGTTGGTGCTTGTCAGATTTATGATAAGATAGCAAGCAAAGGATTACTTCATTTGTAAATGGATAAAGATTGCGGAAATGAGATTATAGTACATGTATTGCGACTTAATAATAACCTGAAATATTGCCTCAGTGAAATGTCACTTCATCTTATGTCTGTAGACAGAACTATTTCTGAAACACACCCACTAGATGTCTCACAAGGAATGATTAAAATAGCAGCTGGAAACACGGGGAACATTATTATATTGAATTGCTGATATTTATTTAACAACAGCTGCCTGTGGAAATGACAGATTCCTTTTCTTGTTCAACCTATCAAGAGGTCGTTCCCCGTGGGAAAATTAGAATTGAAAATTATTGAAATAAATATGTCGTGCGTGATTTCATCATTGGGTGAATCGAACCTGGGACTGCGGCATTATGAGCTAAGACTTGGCCACACAACCGACCACCATAGCCAATACAAGCCAAGTCACAAGCCTGTCCTCCTGATCCGTTAGCCGCCTCGCCTAAACACATAGGTTTCCGGGAACCAGTTCTGACATTGTATTTCATGACAAGGTGACATGCGTGCGTGGTACTGAGGCATCATACATTGTGGAATACTCACAATATAAATTGAACTTTCATTAGAATTAAGAATTCATTCTTGTACATGGCACAGGGGTGGTCAAAGGCACATCAGTTATCCATCTTTTGGCCTGCCATAATCCTGTGATCGCAGGTTCGAATCCAATAGTTTTAGTGTCTGAGATGTTGCTTGTGTAACGTTAACTGTGAACTCCCCCGAATTCCTGATTGGCCCTGACGATAACCCTTGAGTACCATGATCCTGTTCGCTGGTTTCATCAAAGTGGCAGATGTCTTCGACCTACATCATTTGCATCTGAAACACTGATATATAACGGCTGAAACGTTAGAAATACTGCTGGAACGCTGAGGTACATCTGTTGAATCGCTGAGATATAACTGCTGAAACGTTGAAGAAACTGCTGAAACGTTGGGATATAACTGCTGAAACGTTGGGATATAACTATGAGACGCTGGGACATAACTACTGAGACGCTGGGATATAACTGCTGAAACGTTGGGATATAACTACTGAGACGCTAGGATATAACTACTGAGACGCTGGGATATAACTACTGAGACGCTGGGATATAACTACTGAGACGCTGGGATATAACTACTGAGACGCTGGGACATAACTACTGAGACGCTGGGATATAACTGCTGAAACGTTGGGATATAACTACTGAGACGCTGGGATATAACTACTGAGACGCTAGGATATAACTACTGAGACGCTGGGATATAACTGCTGAAACGTTGGGATATAACTACTGAGACGCTGGGATATAACTACTGAGACGCTGGGATATAACTACTGAGACGTTGGGATATAACTACTGAGACGCTAGGATATAACTACTGAGACGCTGGGATATAACTGCTGAAACGTTGGGATATAACTACTGAGACGCTAGGATATAACTACTGAGACGTTGGGATATAACTACTGAGACGCTAGGATATAACTACTGAGACGCTAGGATATAACTACTGAAACGTTGGGATATAACTACTGAGACGCTAGGATATAACTACTGAGACGTTGGGATATAACTACTGAGACGCTAGGATATAACTACTGAGACGCTGGGATATAACTACTGAGACGCTGGGATATAACTACTGAGACGCTAGGATATAACTACTGAGACGCTGGGATATAACTACTGAGACGCTGGGATATAACTACTGAAACGTTGGGATATAACTACTGAGACGCTGGGATATAACTACTGAGACGCTAGGATATAACTACTGAGACGCTGGGATATAACTACTGAGACGCTGGGATATAACTACTGAGATGCTAGGATATAACTACTGAGACGCTGGGATATAACTACTGAGACGCTGGGATATAACTACTGAAACGTTGGGATATAACTACTGAGACGCTGGGATATAACTACTGAGACGCTGGGATATAACTACTGAGACGCTAGGATATAACTACTGAGACGCTGGGATATAACTACTGAGACGCTGGGATATAACTACTGAAACGTTGGGATATAACTACTGAGACGCTGGGATATAACTACTGAGACGCTAGGATATAACTACTGAGACGTTGGGATATAACTACTGAGACGCTAGGATATAACTACTGAGACGCTGGGATATAACTACTGAGACGCTGGGATATAACTACTGAAACGTTGGGATATAACTACTGAGACGCTGGGATATAACTACTGAGACGCTAGGATATAACTACTGAGACGTTGGGATATAACTCCTGAGACGCTGGGATATAACTACTGAGACGCTGGGATATAACTACTGAGACGCTGGGATATAACTACTGAGACGTTGGGATATAACTACTGAGACGCTAGGATATAACTACTGAAACGTTGGGATATAACTACTGAGACGCTGGGATATAACTACTGAGACGCTGGGATATAACTACTGAGACGCTGGGATATAACTACTGAAACGTTGGGATATAACTACTGAGACGCTGGGATATAACTACTGAGACGTTGGGATATAACTACTGAGACGCTGGGATATAACTACTGAGACGTTGGGATATAACTACTGAGACGCTGGGATATAACTACTGAGACGCTGGGATATAACTACTGAGACGTTGGGATATAACTACTGAGACGCTAGGATATAACTACTGAGACGCTGGGATATAACTACTGAGACGCTGGGATATATAACTACTGAGACGCTGGGATATAACTATATAACTACTGAGACGCTGGGATATAACTACTGAGACGCTGGGATATAGACGCTGGGACTGAGACGCTGGGATATAACTACTGAGACGCTGGGATATAACTACTGAGACGCTGGGATATAACTACTGAGACGCTGGGATATAACTACTGAGACGCTGGGATATAACTACTGAGACGCTGGGATATAACTACTGAGACGCTGGGATATAACTACTGAGACGCTGGGATATAACTACTGAGACGCTGGGATATAACTACTGAGACGCTGGAGACGCTGGGATATAACTACTGAGACGCTGGGATATGGCTGATATAACTACTGAGACGCTGGGATATAACTACTGAGACGCTGGGATATAACTACTGAGACGCTGGGATATAACTACTGAGACGTTGGGATATAACTACTGAGACGCTGGGATATAACTACTGAGACGCTGGGATATAACTACTGAGACGTTGGGATATAACTACTGAGACGCTGGATATAACTACTGAGACGCTGGGATATAACTACTGAGACGCTGGGATATAACTACTGAAACGTTGGGATATAACTGGGATATGAGACGCTGGGATATAACTACTGAGACGCTGAGAACTACTGAGACGTTGGGATATAACTACTGAGACGCTGGGATATAACTACTGAGACGCTGGGATATAACTACTGAGACGCTGGGATATAACTACTGAGACGCTGGGATATAACTACTGAGACGCTGGGATATAACTACTGAGACGCTGGGATATAACTACTGAGACGCTGGGATATAACTACTGAGACGCTGGGATATAACTACTAATATAACTACTGAGACGCTGGGATATAACTACTGAGACGCTGGGATATAACTACTGAGACGCTGGATATAACTACTGAGACGCTGGGATATAACTACTGAGACGCTGGGATATAACTACTGAGACGCTGGGATATAACTACTGAGACGCTGGGATATAACTACTGAGACGCTGGGATATAACTACTGAGACGCTGGGATATAACTACTGAGACGCTGGGATATAACTACTGAGACGCTGGGATATAACTACTGAGACGCTGGGATATAACTACTGAGACGCTGGGATATAACTACTGAGACGCTGGGATATAACTACTGAGACTGATATAACTACTGAGACGCTGGGATATAACTACTGAGACGCTGGGATATAACTACTGAGACGCTGGGATATAACTACTGAGACGCTGGGATATAACTACTGAGACGCTGGGATATAACTACTGAGACGCTGGGATATAACTACTGAGACGTTGGGATATAACTACTGAGACGCTGGGATATAACTACTGAGACGCTGGGATATAACTACTGAGACGCTGGGATATAACTACTGAGACGCTGGGATATAACTACTGAGACGCTGGGATATAACTACTGAGACGCTAGGATATAACTACTGAGACGCTGGGATATAACTACTGAGACGCTGGGATATAACTACTGAGACGCTGGGATATAACTACTGAGACGCTAGGATATAACTACTGAGACGCTGGGATATAACTGAGACACTTGATCTACTGGTTAAAAACTCGACTGATCTAAACTCACTAACTCGCATGTCACATAACTTTACTACCTATCACACTCTGTGTCCTCACGATTGTTATAGTGTAATATTTCCTGTGTCGTGTTTAGGTGACCGTAAGAGACGAGACACTGTTCAGTGTCTGAAGTACGTCCCCGCCATTGATGCTTACGTCACGGTGTCACAGAAGGGCGCCCTCTCTATATGGACAAACAAGGTGAGGCAACTCTGTCAGGAGGGAAGGGACGAGGTGGGGTATGATGTCCGTTGCGTTCAATTATCTCTTTGAGATCTCTATACCAAACACCACGGAACAAATGCTATCAAAAGTCCCTGCAGAGTCGCGCCCCTTAAGAGTCCCAGGATCTAGTGATCGGGTGTTTGTACCCTTTTTGGCATTCTTTATTCTCGGTTATTACTATAGCTGAACTCGTGGATTTCATTAAAGAGCTAAACATCCAATACCCGAATTACTTTCATACAATGTTAAGCTGAGTGAGTGAGTGAGTTAATATTTAACGTCACTTCGGCAATATCTCAGCCATATCGTGACGGTTATGATATGGTGAGATGTGGTGATATGACTTCAAAGCGGCATTGAACACAACTCTATCAAACACTCGAAATCATGTCTTCCACTGCGGGCGGTAATGTACGTCCAATATTCAACACATTTTATGGATAATAACTTCTTTATTTCGTGAATGCAACGTTACTGATTCTTGTACGGTTGTCAAGCAGGAATACAACGGTACAAGAATCAAGAATCTGTATCGAAGCGAAAGAAGTTGTTATCCATAAAATTTGCTCAATATTTTACGCCCAGACTTTTAAAGTGCCACTCAAAGAAATGTACGTCCAATTTCCGGTAGATTAAACTATTAATAGGTATGCACGGATACTTGTATGTAAAATGGGTAGTATGTATCATCCAATAATCCTATAATCTTAATCTTATAATCCAACACTTGTTTTTCAGCTTCGGCTACAGGCCTGTATCGACATCAATGTAAGTTTGGCTGACCCTGATTGCAAAACATTAGTTTGTATATTGGTATGTTTTGTTGTTGTTTTTCTTTAACGCCGCTCTCAGCAATCTTCCCGCTGCATGACGGCGATGCGTAAATATAATGGAGTAAGTCGCAGACAAACCGGTGGTTGATGTTATGATCACCGTCTCGCCCAGCCGGATTACAGAGAACCGTTACCAAGCCACAGAGGCTGACCATCCATTCCACCCAGTAACCTCACATAATGAGATCGATGGTGATCGATTCACTCACGATTGATGGGCACTGTGAATTACATCAACTCTCTTTGGGCTTTAGAATCAGGAAAACACGAAAACACAAAACTGTTTTACAGATAACTATTTTCTTCTTTTGTTCCATTGTCTCTTATCGAGTGAATTTATTTCGACTTTAAATATATATTTAATGTCCCTCGTAACTTTCATACCTCTCAACACATGGTTGTACTCATTCAAGGTTGAAAACGGTGTAAAAATCTGCAAAAAAACGTCGTAATAAAACAGGGGCTATTACTCATACAGTTGTACGTTTTTATGTATGTTGTAATAATAGCAAAAACCCAGTTATGTTTGACGGGCGTGAATGTGATGTATTGACCAGTGTGCTTTCCCCGTGTCCCCCAGGAGCCAGCGTGGGCAACCGGCTGTGACTACCTCCCCGTGCTCCGGAGGGTGGCGTGTTGTACAGAGAGGAGCATCGCCCTGTGGGACAACAGAGCAAAGGGCAAGAATCAGGTTCGTCTACAAGGATTGAAACATCATGTCCTTTCAGATTTTCTAGTGTTATTAAGATTTGATCACTGGTATGTCTTTGTGTTAAGGTAGAAAATGGACAGATATAGTATTTCCCGTCACATAAATTGTCACAAGTATGTATTCACATTGCTGCGGTTGTATGATGAATTTAGAATACGTATCAGCAGTAGCAGTCAACAGTGGCATGAAGGAAGATATTATTATGTGCGCATTACTGACTATATTTAATTTAAATTTTAAGTCATGATGTGATTTATGTCGATGCTTATCATAATGGTATGATGATGATGATGATGATGATGATGATTATGTGTCTTTATATTCAGTGTTGTTAGGGTAATAGTGGAATATAATAATAGATGTTGGGGATGTTCACGAAAAGTTTTCCATTTGCAGCAAATCTTTACAATCAAGCCTATTGAGCACTCGCCCCAGTGCATGACCAACATCCCCACGTCCACCACACCTCACGAGGACAGGATTCTCTTCGGCGACGACCAGGGCTACGTGAACCTCCTCACCATCTCCGCCAAAGACATGACGATGAAGAACTCAAAGGGGGAAAAGAACAACTCGCAGAACAACCTCATCATCGACCCCAACAAAATGACTTTGTGAGTTCGTTTGTAAATTCAAAATGGCGGACAACTCTGAAGAAGGCTTTCAGATACCTTGGGGCATGCAGTTTAACAAAATAACAAACTCAAAAGGCATTAACCCGAACTGTGACATAAAGCCTTGTTGCTAATTAATGAAAATGTCACAGATTGGATAGATTCATATTTTACATATAAACAGGTCTCACCCCGAGTTATGGTGTCAGTTATTATTCCGCTCACGTTCATTCTGGCACTTTTGAAAGTGTGTCATGAGGCAAGTAATCTGATAATCATAAAAAGAGATATACCCGTGAAGATCCAGGTTCGAATTGGTCTTCAACAACCCATACTTGTCATACAAGGCGACTAACAGGATCGGGTGGTCAGACTTGCTGACTTTGTCATTGTATCCCAATTGCGTAGATCGATGCTCTTGCTGTTGATCACTGGATTGTCAGATCCAGACTCAATTATTTCCAGACCGCCGCAATATAGCTGGAAAAAAGTGTTGTGTTAAACATCAAACAAACAACTGTTTAAATCGGAAACAGCTGGAATCAGAACACTTCTTTTTAAAGGTAACCATATGCAAGCATGTTCACTCTGTAGCCTGCAAGAAGGGGACCCTAATGTTCACTGGCAATATCTCTTGACGAAACAGTTCAACGTGTTATCTGTTGTGCAAATATTGCTTTTGCCTTTTGTTGTTTATTGTAGGATCAAATCTACCTAGGACATTGAGTCAATGAGGTAAATACTGTAAACACAACTTTGAAAATATAACGTATCTTAAAACATGAGTCACTAACAAAATCTAAAACACTTCTTGTTGTTTTTCAGTCCCATTCAGAGAAGAAAACTCCACGACGATTGGGTGCTTAAGGTACATCGCAAAATGGAATATTATGACCATATAGTGAAACCCAGTTAGTGCGGATTTTCTGCTGCTTTTCGGAACATCATCATCATCGTCGTCGTTGCCATCGCCACAACCACCACCACCATCATCATCACCATCATCATCATCATCACCAACATCATCACCGTCGTCGTCGTCCTCGTCATCTCCATTACCACCAATACCAATACCATCACCATCATCACCACCATTTATTAGTAGTTCTTATCATAAGTTAATTATGACATTTAGTTGTTAATCGTCAAAAATCAAACTTTTGAATATTATATAAATCGTTCAATAAAATTTCTCATGATATGGTATTTCTTTGGCGGCCTTTATCTCGGTTGATTCCACGATGTATTCTCCTGGCTAGCGGAATTTAACTGCACTTGTTTATTGCTGGAGCTTTCGTTGAATGATGTATACAGACCGCCACCATATAGCTGTAATATTGCCGAGTGCGGCGTACAACTAAACTCACTCACTCATTGAATGATATCTTTTCATTATTAAAGGTAGAGGTTATTCGGTAACGTGTCATAGTGCATCGTGATTGTGCTGAAGAAATCATGGTATAGTACATCGTTTGTAATGGGAGAGTCGTTCGTTCGTTCGTTTGTTTGTTTGTTTGTTTGTTTAACGGCTCACTCTGCAAAATTTCAACTTTATGAAGTCGATCTGTAAAAAAAATCGAGTCTTGACCAGACAATCCATTGATTGACTTCGTGAGCTTCGATCTACGCGGCTGGGATACGAAGACCGATCCCGTTAGTCGGCCCTTACAACATGCATGCGCTGCTGAAGATCATTTTCAAGATTTTGTCAAGATTTTCATTTATGTTACGCTGAAGAATAATTACATACATAATACTGTAACCGAGACAATCTATATCAGAGTTTTTAAGGGTCTAATCATCGACAAGTACATCTGATGCATTACAGGTGAAGTATTTCCCCGATCTCCGATGCTTCGCGTCCTGCTCGCCCTGCAGCACCAACTCCTTCTTCTTGGAGGAACTAGACCGACTGAACAATCATGACACGGAGTAAGTACAGCTTACAGATACGATGTGAGCGTATCCATTTCCCATATTTACAGTGTTTTCTGGTAGGGTGTATTTAAGCGTGCTGTCAATGTGATTTTAATTCATTAAAACCAAATAAATATTTCTTGCTATATTATTGGCATATACAATGTTATTTATCAATAATAAAAATAGAACCAAGTGCATTGGTAGAACAAGGTTTTAAAACAAACAAAGGTAACTGAAATCGATATGTGGGGCATTAACCTCCCCCGAGAAATGAAATCTTGGTGGCAGCGCTTGGAGATTTCGTTCCCGGTAAAATATTTGGTTAGAGTTATCTCCCTTCGACCATCTCTCGGCTTCCAAGACTGCGGTGATTGAGGTGTTTTTTTAATGCATTGGTTATGATTACAGAGCCTACTTATTGATACAATTAATTAAATATCTATAGAAGGAAAGACTCCCGCCCGTATCACCCCTTAAATTCCATTCTAGTCAAATCATATCACCTGAATATATATTCCTCATCTGATAAGGATGAGTTTTAACATATTTTTATTAATTGTATCTGAACATACTGAAAGACATATCCAACTTCTAAAAGTGCCACTGAAATAAATTGTTCCTCATCGTTAACATTTAGGGGGATGCGGGCGGAAGTCCTATGGAATATAAAACGAATCATTTCACTACAGACTAGGTCCAATATCAATGAAATGATCACTAGGAGTAGCTACTGTATATTCCAGATAATGTGGCGTGTAACTTCTATCTTAGACAGACTGACTATTTCTTACTTTGATAGTGATAAACAATATGAATTTTCTGATCTTAATTTGTACTTCAGATGAAATAACAAGTGGCATTTATTTGTTAATGTCAACCTTCTCATCTGGTGTAATACTTAATACAGTACCATTACCTACCCCAGTACCATTACCTACCCCAGTACATTTTTCCATGTCTATTCTAACATGATCCCTCTCATCTAACCAGCCCACCCTCTACCCCTATAATAAATGACTGGTACCAAAAAGATGTATAAATCTGGAACATACTTTTTAATCAGATGAAACACTGCTGCACCAATGCGGATTCCAGCCACACATTATATTTTTGGAGAGCATAAAACATTGCCTGTGTAGGATTTACTCTTTTATAGTTAAATAGAGGGGTAATTTTCCCCCAATATTTTTAAAAACCAATGTTGTTGCTGCATGTTACACCTGCGCAATATTGACAGATTGTCGCCTTTCTTCACAATATAGTAAAGAACTGGGATATTTCTTCACAATGAATACAGCGATACATTCTTTAACATTGTGAGTTAGATTTCAGTCAATAGTGTGAGAATTTCTATTTAAAAAAGTGAGACACAGAACATATTTCCCCATTCCATGTGAAACTTGCTGCACTATAACAATGTTGCTTCCATGTTTCAGAGAAGTCCGAGGCGTGTCTATCCCCAAGGGTGTTAACTGCTTCAACTACTGCACCAGGGCCAACATCATCGCCACCGGGGGAGTGGACAAGATCATCAGGGTGTGGCATCCACACATATTTTCCCGTCCGACAGGTAAGTCACAAACCAAATACAGCATATTAAACAATATTTCTGAAAAAAGTGCTTTCACTGATTCCAGCACTCAAATTCCAAATCTGATTATATACATTGAGGTAATTAACTCTAATGTCTTATCTTTGGAAGTGAAGATCTTCCCATCTATCAGAGCTTGCAAAATTGTATTAAGTGAACTTTTTAGTCATCCAGACTGGTGGCAGGCTTTTCAGTTCTCAGCAGCATATATATGATTTCTATCTCTTGAAAATGAGCCTAAACCATCAGTTCTGAATGGAAACCAACAATGGCTGTTCTATGATGGTGACTGTCATTTCTGAGCTCCATGGTATCTGCATCTTGAATAAAAAACAGAAAGTTATCTGTCACATGTGAATAAACACATCTGATTTCAAGAAACATTGCAGTCAACTGTACTCAAAAACAGATGAAAAGTTGCAAACATATCTCTGAAAAGCCATTGATAATATTCTGATGTATTATTTTCACCCCAATAATGTCTTAGGAGTTAGATAACACCGAGGAGAGCTTAGCTAAGAAGACACACATACCTTTAGATAACCATTTATAAAAATCAAATTACTTTTTTTTCGTTATATTTTATTTTCCATCTGCTAACTGGGATTCATCATAAACACCTCTGTAATACAGAAATAGAAAGTTTCTACTTAATTTACTGATCCACCAACAAATACCTGGATATGGCATCCGGACGATGTTAACTTGAGAACACTGCCTTCCTTTTTCTTGCAAGTCCCCTTCATAATACTACATACATATTAAAATTGAATTACCTGTGGTAATATTTAATTATAACGTTTACCAGGACTGCTGTCGTCACAACATATCAGGACATTCCTCAAAACAAACCTAAAATTCTAGCGCTTAGGATGTCAGTCCGAACTTCAGTTAAGGTGGCCTTGACTTTAGGAACTGTATACAACATTTGTTATAAATCAGGGTTGAATGGCAGTGTCTGGGAATGCCATGACAGATTCCTGTTGTACCTGTTTAGATGTCTGAGTCAGTACTCGGTGTGCATCTTATATATTCACACGTTTGATTTCCAGGTAAACTTCTCGGCCACCTGTTCACTATTATAGAGATAGCCTGTAATGAGAGGGACCAGCATATTATCAGCCTCTCTACTGCCAGGGTGTTCCCGGGTGTGGGATATACACACTCTCACCTGTCTGCAGGTAAATGCTCTCAACTGTCTCTAGGTAAATGCTCTCACCTGTCTGCAGGTAAATGCTGTCACCTGTCTGCAGGTAAATGTGCTCACCTGTCTCCGGGTAAATACTCTCACCTGTGTGAAAGTCTAACTCTAGCAGCCTGCAGCTAAATATTCTTACCTGTGTACAGGTAAATGTCCTCATCTCTTTGCAAGTAGACATTCTCAAATGTCTGCAAGTAAATTCTAAATCTGGAACATACTTTTAATCAGATGAAACACTGTTGCACCAATCTGGATTCCAGCCACACATTATATTTTTGGAGCAGGCATAAAAAACATTGCCTGTGTAGGATTTATCCTTTTATAGTTAAATAGAGGGGTAATTTTCTCCCCACTATTTTTAAAACCAATGTTGTTGCTGCATATTTACACCTGCACAATATTGACAGATTGTCGCCTTTCTTCACAATATAGTAAAGAACTGGGATATTTCTTCACAATGAATACAGCCATACATTCTTTTTAACATTGTGAGTTAAGATTTCAGTCAATGTGAGAATTTCTTTATTTAAAAGTGTGAGACACAGAACATATTTCCCCCATTCCATGTGAAACTTGCTGCACTATAACAATGTTGCTCCTCCATGTTTCCAGAGAAGTCCTGAGAGGCTGTCTATCCCCAAGGGTGTTAACTGCTTCAACTACTGCACCAGGCCAACATCATCGCCACCGGGGAGTGGACAAGATCATCAGGGTGTGGCATCCACACATATTTTTCCCGTCCTACGGGCAAGTCACACAAACCAAATACAGCATATTAAACAATATTTCTGAAAAAGTGCTTTCACTGATTCCAGGACTCAAATTCCAAATCTGATTATATACATTAAGGTAATTAACTCTAATGTCTTATCTTTGGAAGTGAAGATCTTCCATCTATCAGAGCTTGCCAAAATTGTACCCAGATACTTTTAGTCGTTGGCTATAGCGTTGGCAATGATTTTGCCAACATTGCCAATGTTGGGCCAGCGTCGAATGCTATCTGGGTGATAAAATGAACTTTTTAGTCATCAGACTGGTGGCAGGTACATTTCAGTTCTTGGCAGTATATATATGATTTCTATTGCTTGAAATGAGCCTAAACCATCAGTTCTGAATGGAAACCAACAATGGCTGTTCTATGATGGTGACTGTCGTTTCTGAGCTCCATGGTATCTGCATCTTGAATAAAACAGAAAGTTATCTGTCACATGTGAATAAACACATCTGATTTCAAGAAATATTGCAGTGAACTGTACTCAAAAACAGATGAAAAGTTGCAAACATATCTCTGAAAAGCCATTGATAATATTCTGATGTATTATTTCACCCCAATAATGTCTTATGAGTTAGATAACACCGAGGAGAGCTTAGCTAAGAAGACACACATACCTTTAGATAACCATTTATAAAAACGAATTACTTTTTTCCGTTATATTTTTATTTTCCATCTGCTAACTGGGATTCATCATAAACACCTCTGTAATACAGAAATAGAAAGTTTCTACTTAATTTACTGATCCACCAAAAATGCCTGGATATGGCATCCGGACGATTTTAACTTGAGAACACTGCCTTCCCTTTTTCTTGCAAGTCCCTTGATAATACTACATACATATTAAAATTGAATTATCTGTGGTAATATTTAATTATAACGTTTACCAGGACTGCTGTCGTCACAACATATCAGGACATTCCTCAAAACAAACCTAAAATTCTAGCGCTTAGGATGTCAGTCCGAACTTCAGTTAAGGTGGCCTTGACTTTAGGAACTGTATACAACATTTGTTATAAATCAGGGTTGAATGGCAGTGTCTGGGAATGCCATGACAGATTCCTGTTGTACCTGTTTAGATGTCTGAGTCAGTACTGGTGTGCATCTTATATATTCACACGCGTTTGATTTCCAGATGTAAACTTCTCGGCCACCTGTTCACTATTATAGAGATAGCCTGTAATGAGAGGGACCAGCATATTATCAGCCTCTCTACTGCCAGGGTGTTCCGGGTGTGGGATATACACACTCTCACCTGTCTGCAGGTAAATGCTCTCAACTGTCTCTAGGTAAATGCTCTCACCTGTCTGCAGGTAAATGCTGTCACCTGTCTGCAGGTAAATGTGCTCACCTGTCTCCGGGTAAATACTCTCACCTGTGTGAAAGTCTAACTCTAGCAGCCTGCAGCTAAATATTCTTACCTGTGTACAGGTAAATGTCCTCATCTCTTTGCAAGTAGACATTCTCAAATGTCTGCAAGTAAATTCTCTCACCAGTCTGTGGACTTTATAATGTTTTATGTGCAAATAATGTTATATGTATAAATGGACATTTCAATGGTGATATTGGTCACCAAACATATTGTTCTCTTTAACATACAGAATTAATGTTGACTGTTGTGTTACTCATTTTGCACTGAAGATCAAATTCATGTTTTCCTGTGGTTTTCCGGTATTCACATATGTAAATCTGGAATGTTGTGCGATGTTTATGTGCATTTACCTGTGATTGTCAGGTATTTACAGACAATGAGGAAAGGCCAGGTGAAAAGAGGATATACTCAATGTTGTTTGACAATAAACACGAGAGGCTAATGACAGGTGAGCACCCCCATTACCCATACCCAGCAGTTATCCCCACACCCACATCCACACTCAAACCGAAACACACCCAGCAGCAACATCAACAACCACATCTGAACCGGCTCTAACCAATATCCACACTCCCATGTCATCACTGTTCATGCCCTCTTATACACATGATCATGCTCTAGAGCTGTAGCTGTAGCAATATCCACACTCCCAGCCACACTGATCATGCTCTAGAGCTGTAGCCAATATCCACACTCCCAGCCACACTGATCATGCTCTAGAGCTGTAGCCAATATCCACACTCCCAGTCACACTGATCATGCTCTAGAGCTGTAGCCAATATCCACACTCCCAGCCACACTGATCATGCTCTAGAGCTGTAGCCAATATCCACACTCCCAGCCACACTGATCATGCTCTAGAGCTGTAGCCAATATCCACACTCCCAGTCACACTGATCATGCTCTAGAGCTGTAGCCAATATCCACACTCCCAGTCACACTGATCATGCTCTAGAGCTGTAGCCAATATCCACACTCCCAGTCACACTGATCATGCTCTAGAGCTGTAGCCAATATCCACACTCCCAGTCACACTGATCATGCTCTAGAGCTGTAGCCAATATCCACACTCCCAGTCACACTGATCATGCTCTAGAGCTGTAGCCAATATCCACACTCCCAGTCACACTGATCATGCTCTAGAGCTGTAGCCAATATCCACACTCCCAGTCACACTGATCATGCTCTAGAGCTGTAGCCAATATCCACACTCCCAGTCACACTGATCATGCTCTAGAGCTGTAGCCAATATCCACCACACTCCCAGTCACACTGATCATGCTCTAGAGCTGTAGCCAATATCCACACTCCCAGTCACACTGATCATGCTCTAGAGCTGTAGCCAATATCCACACTCCCAGACACACTGATCATGCTCTAGAGCTGTAGCCAATATCCACACTCCCAGCCACACTGATCATGCTCTAGAGCTGTAGCCAATATCCACACTCCCAGACACACTGATCATGCTCTAGAGCTGTAGCCAATATCCACACTCCCAGTCACACTGATCATGCTCTAGAGCTGTAGCCAATATCCACACTCCCAGTCACACTGATCATGCTCTAGAGCTGTAGCCAATATCCACACTCCCAGCCACACTGATCATGCTCTAGAGCTGTAGCCAATATCCACACTCCCAGTCACACTGATCATGCTCTAGAGCTGTAGCCAATATCCACACTCCCAGTCACACTGATCATGCTCTAGAGCTGTAGCCAATATCCACACTCCCAGTCACACTGATCATGCTCTAGAGCTGTAGCCAATATCCACACTCCCAGTCACACTGATCATGCTCTAGAGCTGTAGCCAATATCCACACTCCCAGCCACACTGATCATGCTCTAGAGCTGTAGCCAATATCCACACTCCCAGACACACTGATCATGCTCTAGAGCTGTAGCCAATATCCACACTCCCAGTCACACTGATCATGCTCTAGAGCTGTAGCCAATATCCACACTCCCAGTCACACTGATCATGCTCTAGAGCTGTAGCCAATATCCACACTCCCAGTCACACTGATCATGCTCTAGAGCTGTAGCCAATATCCACACTCCCAGTCACACTGATCATGCTCTAGAGCTGTAGCCAATATCCACACTCCCAGTCACACTGATCATGCTCTAGAGCTGTAGCCAATATCCACACTCCCAGTCACACTGATCATGCTCTAGAGCTGTAGCCAATATCCACACTCCCAGTCACACTGACACACTGATCATGCTCTAGAGCTGTAGCCAATATCCACACTCCCAGTCACACTGATCATGCTCTAGAGCTGTAGCCAATATCCACACTCCCAGCCACACTGATCATGCTCTAGAGCTGTAGCCAATATCCACACTCCCAGCCACACTGATCATGCTCTAGAGCTGTAGCCAATATCCACCTCCCAGTCACACTGATCATGCTCTAGAGCTGTAGCCAATATCCACACTCCCAGCCACACTGATCATGCTCTAGAGCTGTAGCCAATATCCACACTCCCAGCCACACTGATCATGCTCTAGAGCTGTAGCCAATATCCACACTCCCAGCCACACTGATCATGCTCTAGAGCTGTAGCCAATATCCACACTCCCAGCCACACTGATCATGCTCTAGAGCTGTAGCCAATATCCACACTCCCAGCCACACTGATCATGCTCTAGAGCTGTAGCCAATATCCACACTCCCAGTCACACTGATCATGCTCTAGAGCTGTAGCCAATATCCACACTCCCAGTCACACTGATCATGCTCTAGAGCTGTAGCCAATATCCACACTCCCAGTCACACTGATCATGCTCTAGAGCTGTAGCCAATATCCACACTCCCAGTCACACTGATCATGCTCTAGAGCTGTAGCCAATATCCACACTCCCAGACACACTGATCATGCTCTAGAGCTGTAGCCAATATCCACACTCCCAGCCACACTGATCATGCTCTAGAGCTGTAGCCAATATCCACACTCCCAGCCACACTGATCATGCTCTAGAGCTGTAGCCATCATGCAAACTCCACAGAAACCCCTGGTACGTGCAAAATAAATCTACTACTTGACATAAGTCATGTCAAAAACATCCTAAAGAAGATAGCACATAATCAGATCACCAGAGACGATGATGACAGCCTGTCAGCTCAGACCTGTATTCCCATCTGAAACAAAATAATGAGCGTCCAACAACACAGAAACAAGGCTAACATCCGGTACATAAAGAGAATTCTGACCTGGTTACAGAAGTAGTATAAAAAAAATCTATGTCACTTGTTCCCTCTTTAAAAGAAATGCCTCTCTCTGCTCGTTGTCTTGGAGCTATACACATAACTCCAGAGGCATTCTCAAGATAAAAAAACAACTGAAATAAATAAAGTTGTTGCTTTTCATAAAGAAGTCATGGTGAAATGTCTGAAAATTATTGATTTCTTGTTAGAGATGTGCATCTGTTTGAAAATGAAAGATGACATTGTTTTTAGCCATATACACATAAAAATGACAGCAAGTTGTCCTGGGCTGTATTGACCTTAAGTTAGTGAGTTACAATGTTCAGCCTTGATAGCCAAATTGCCCATGTCATCATAGTTATAATAAATTTATATGTTCATTGGTCACATGATTTTTCTGACAACCATATTTTGTTAAAGGTTGAAATTGGTCTTCAGGAAGGCTAACAAAGACTTAAGCTACACTACGGGTTGCTGTTGATCAGAAATAAAAATCAGGAACTGAAATTATAACGAGTTTGTTAATCATCATCTGAATTTATCTACCGTAAGTATAAATCAGGATTTCTTGCAAGGGAGTTAACTCTGTTTCAACCCATCTTTCAGGGTCCAGTGTCCTTGATGCCTGGCCTCTGACCCGGTCAGTGCAGGACACTATGCAGGTGCCACACACACATGACCGGCCACTCAGTCAGGTGGGTACACAGGAATTACAGTAGACTCACACAGGGAAGCTATAAAAGGCATGTACTAACAACCACCCACCCCACCCAAACCAAAACACAGAGTAGGGCCCATTAATCTTGTATGGTTTTATAAAGAAATTCACTTATTTATTATTTTAACCTTGCTTGATAATTGTTTCAACCTTAATATGTTTGGGGTGAGGGGTAAGAGGGGCCAGTGTTAGAAGACTGGAAGCTGTCTCTGTTTCCTGTATTTATTAATGGTTGAAAATTTTTCATGTGTATTTTTCCTCTTTTCCTGCAAATACATAAAGACTTCTTTGTAGAGAGTTTGGATTATTTTCATTCTATAAATCTTTGTTTTATGTTTTGTTTATTTACTCGTTGTGTGATATACAGTTTACATGATATGATAATGTAATGGAGACTGCCCATGTCCATATGACTGTACAAACATATCTCAGTAGCAAGATGTTACTTTTGTCATTATTATCTGGGGTGGTGGGATAGAATGTTAAGCTTTATTTAAAAAAAAAAGAAGTAAAATAGTTATTTGCACTGTTGTCTCCTGAGGGGCAGTGGGCTAGCCTAGTGGTTATAGCGTTTGCTCGTCAAGCTGAAAACCTGGGTCCAATGTGTGAAGTCAATTTTGGGTGTCACCGATCATGATATCACTAGAATATTGCTTAGTGACGTAAATCCATACTCACACAGCCACTCACTCACTCAGTAGGATCAACATTTCTATGAGAAGACATACAGATTTCTTTGTGGTCACATAGTATATATTAAGCATATAGACAGTAACATTCCATTGATAATGACATACAGTGCTATGACATCACACACAAATATCATGATGTCATTGCTCAAGGAACTCTGAATCGCTGCTCTTATATTCTGTAGCTGTAGGCAATATACAGCATATTCTGCTTGTGGCATAACACCAGACTCTGCAACCATCCAGCATTATGACACTGGACTGTAAATATTGAAATTCAGTGATTGACATCATAAGAATCGGTCCAGGTAATTGGGAAATGATGACATCAACCAAGACAGCAACTCTGACCATCCAATCCATGCAGTTGTCTCTTACCATGACCATGGTTGCGGAAGGCCGTTTCCAAAGTGGATCTGTGTTATTCCCTGTTTTGTACCAGTGCTTATTGGAAGCTGAAAACACAATAACTGCTTTAGTGTACAAGTCTCCTTTCTTATCACTGAACATTGGCGATAGATTGTATGGTAATGTGTTGTTAGAGAAGATTTGATCCAACACCATTTGAGGTGTACAGTGTAGTGGTGGTCCGATTAATTGAAATAATCGAAGATTGGTCGCAGTGATTGAACGACCATGCAATCGATCATGTTTTCTCATAAACAATTCTGGAACATTTGTTTGCATTAATAATATTTTTCACAAGGCTGGTTTTGTCTGTCATTAAATTTAGATTTCATAATCACTACAAGCTCATTCCATGTCATGATTGAATTTATCTTAAAGACTTCAAGAAATTTATTTTCCTAACATACTAGTCATTCTTTAAAGATGTGAAATTTACAAAAAAAACAACCAAAGAACTACATGTTTTTTCTTTATTTAGAAAAATAACCAGGAAAATTTCATAAATAACGCTAACCAATTATTTTTGATGATTAATCGGTTGTAATGAACCAATCATCATTTATAAGATTTTAACCAATTCCCAACGCTAGTACAGTGAAGACCAAACCATCCAACTGCCATCCTTTAAACATGCTCTGACAGTGTTGTTATTTGACTGTTCCAGATATTGTACAACTCCGAGTTACATCAAGCAGTGTCGGTGTGCACAGAGTCTTTCATCAAGGTGGGTGATATTGGACATATAATTAACATGAACATATTTTTCTATTAGTTTATGCCTTATTATGAACTTTTAAAGATTTGGTCCTCTAAATGAATTGGTGTTTGTAATTCTATATGTGCTATTTGATTGGTTTAAAAGACATTGTTGAATAAATTCCAAATCAGAAATAATTCAGATGTTTCACTGTGTTTGAATACTATTCTTCAATCTGCCACTAAATGGAACTCACTGCCAGACTCTCTCAAAGAAGCTCAGTTGTTGGAACAATTTAAGTGTCACTTAAAGACTCATCTGTTTCATTTGTACTTTTAAAGTGACCTTGTACTGCTACCAAGTTTTTAATGTTCCTTGACTCTTGTATGCGCTATGAGCACACCCCAGTGGAGTTTAGCGCCATATAAATGGACATTATTATTATTATTATTATTATTAATCTTCATTATCAGTTGACATGAATGTCATAAGCACTATTTTATGTATGTGTAGTATTTATCACAAAAAATGGTAGACATTTTGCAGGATTCTGTGGATCTTATGTCATGGAAGTGTACACTGTGTTCCATTGTAACATGCCTCGCAGTATTCCAGAGTGAGGTTCATGTCACTCTCATGGCTGTTGAAGTGCACACATGGAGATGGAGACAGACTTGTGGCCCCACATTGATGTGTTTGATGTATATTGTAGGTGTGGGAGATGGAGACAGGCAAGCTAGTCTACTCTATCCCTGAGGCTCACGGCCCCGGGGTTGAGATTACAGCACTAACGCTGGACCAGTCAGGGTACAGACTAGTCAGTGGGGGATATGATGGTATGTTACCCTTGAATACATTGTAGACATGTGGCAAGACACAGATGATATTCTTACCTTACTTGTGAACTTGCTGATGTGTTAGCATCATTGGTTATGAGGAGAAAGTTTTTTGTTACATCAGATCAGTTTCGAATCCAATCATAGGACTCTGTGGCCACTACATTGGTGCTGAACATAGGGCTGAGCACATTCATGATGCTACTTACAAGTACTGACAATGTGGGACAGTGTTGACAAATGAACTCTAGCAGGCCGTAGAGATGTCCCACAAATGACAACCTTTCTCTATATGTCAACCTGGAATATAAAAGACGGTCGTTCAGAAACTCTATGGCTGTTAAATACAGTCAAATTTGTTAAGTTGAAACAGGATTACTAAAGTAAACACCTAGATAAAATACAGATAATTTTGTTGTGTCCTTTCTTTAGTTAACAGAACATGATGACAAACTAGAGTAGTTTGCTGTATAGATTAACATGAGTCCAAGCAGCCAAACTGATGATTTATTCAGAAAGAACGATTTGTCCTGCAAACAGTGTAGTGGTGAATGCCAGATCTTTGCAAGTGATTCCATGAACTGTTCCTGTTGAACTTGTACAAATACTATGCATCTATTGTTGCTATCAAACATTTTCTGGCTGTGAAATAAGGTGATATTAGATGTGTAGAAGGGATATACTTCAAGTGGCAAGCTGGATCATTAGATACTTTAGTTTCAGTCGAAAACTGCAGACCCGTACAGGATGAGTTGATAGTCTTGGTTCAAACCATTGATTTGCTACTTATGAGAGTCAACAGTATGTATATTAATTAGTTCATGTAAAACCAGAGTTTGATATTCAATAACAATTCATGAGCAAAAAGATGACCAGAAGTAATACACGTGTCCACAGTTGAATACAAATCATGAAGGGTTCCTGGTTTCTACAGGATCAATCAAAATCTGGGACTTTGGCGCTGGTCAGGAGATCAAGTCAAAGTCAGGACGAGGCACCGAGGAAGACTTCAGTATCATAGGGTTGATATACAAGAAGTACAGGGATGACTACATCATCATTGCTGCTGGCTGGAACAACAAGATCAGGCTGCTGCTGGTAGGTGCTGGTGGGTGCTTGTGGGTGCTGGTAGGTGCTGGTGGGTGCTTGTAGGTGTTGGTAGGTGCTGGTGGGTGCTTGTAGGTGTTGGTAGGTGCTGGTGGGTGCTTGTAGGTGTTGGTGGATGTTGGTGTGTGCTTGTAGGTGTTGGTGTGTGCTTGTAGGTGTTGGTGGGTGCTTGTAGGTGCTGGTGGGTGCTGCTGGTGGGTGCTGCTGGTGGGTGCTTGTGGGTGCTTCTGGTGCTGCTTGGTTCTTGGAGCCTCTGTGGTTGCTAGGTACTTTTAGGTGCTGGAAGCTGCTGGTGGGTGTTGGTGGGTGCATGTCGTGTAGCTTGCATTATGTAATTCTAGATATCAGGATCATGAATGCACATTGTATCACTGGTTGGCCTGGTAACTCATCTTGGCCTGATTTCCCTATTGTGTGACACTCATACACTATTTTACTCTCACTCTCCACCTCATTCCCTCCTGAACTCTCTACCTCATTCACTTTCTCAATTAACCTCTCTTATTCATAAATTTAGTACTTCATCCAGTCACCACCTCACTTGCTGATAACCTGTATCACACATTCTCGCAGTCACCTACTGATTTTCACTTGTTCAATCACTAATTCATCATTTAAGAAAAAACATTGTACAACTCAACCATTCACCATCAATATCACATACTTATTCAGCTACACTCCTTCCATCCACTCCTTCACTCTCTCCTTTTCTCACTCTCTCTGTTCTTCCCGCCAGGATGCTGGGGACAACAACGACCTGTCTGTGACCCGAGAATTCAGCGACATCTACTACATGACCCGTGAGGTCAGCATCTGCTCGACCTCCTCCACCGACCCGTTCCGCTCCCCACCACTGCCTGCTATAGGGGAAGGGTCTGGCATCACCAATGTCTTCAAGAAGGTAGGGATTTTTCTTTAGTCATATTCATTTAGGTTCCTTCAGCTACTCAGAGTTCCTCCAAAATAAAGTGTTTAAACCCTATTTCATATCTTTTACACTCTGCGGACACTGCCACAGCAGGTCAGATCAGCGAATCTGATTCAAGTCTTCTCAATTCTTAGTACATATAAGCCACTCATTCAACCCATCATATTTATTTTGGATCACTCTAAAATGGACCATCAAGAAAAAGCCACACATAGAGTCTCATAATTATTAGATTTATATTTGTTAAACATCTCTAATGTAAACAGAGGATATGTATAATTGCAAATCTGTTTATGATAAACTTTGATTAACAATGCAAACACTGTCAAAATAATCATTTAATCCAATGATCAGGTGTCATCTATGTGTCCTGTTACTCACCCTTATGGCTTTGGATGCCATACTTTGGTACTCCAAGGTTGGTTACACAGTCAAGGGTGCTGTCATATGATATTTCAGAAAGGCAAGAAACTTTATCCACTCACTCACTCACTTACTCACTCATTGCAGGATTATGTGTTGATGTCGAATGAAGTAACTTGCATGGCATTGATGGGTGATGGGACGAACTCAAGCACTACGCTCATCGCTACAGGGATGAGCAATGGGAACGTCATCCTCTGGGATGTGGAGAAGGCTGTGGTGGCCAAAATGTGAGTGTACCAGTGTGAAGATGATGTGGTTAGGAGGAGGATGATGATGATGATGATGGTGGTGGTGGTGGCGATGTTGATGATGATGATGATGATGGTGGTGGTGGCGATGTTGATGATGATGATGATGATGATACAAATAGTATTACAACAGTGATATGATTATGATGTGTAGGCCTAAACTGCAGCTGCAACATCATCAACAACAACATCAACATCAACAACAACAACAACAACAACAACAACAACATCAACAACAATAACAACATCAACAACAATAACAACATCAACAACAATAACAACATCAACAACAATAACAACATCAACAACATCAACAACAATAACAACATCAACAACAATAACAACATCAACAACAAACTGAGATAAAAAGGGTAGAAAGAAGACCAATGTTGAGAGTCACCTAAATGAAACATAATCATGAATATTCCAGTCACTTGACGTGTAATAATGTATTATGTAGAATAGAATATCATCTCGGGCTCATGAAAAGTGTTGCAAGTGATAATGTATCAATTATTTATATATTAGGATAGACAGAATGAATTACTTTTGACACAGACTGTTATCCCCAAGACTGTGACATGAGAGTTAGAATAGGTTTGAATTGAACTAAGTCATGTCTAAATGTATAACTATATTGAAGGTATTTCTGTGGTTTGTCACCATTGTAGAATACACTCTAACATTGTGAGGGTCTGTAAGTGGGGAACTGCTGGCCTTCTGGTCCAGGTGATGTCATTGCTGAAACTAAACAGAGAAATCAAATCTAATTACCAAATCTATTTACATATTTTTAATTAGCAAAAAAGTGACATTGACAACAATTATTTGAACTGGTCTCTCCTGTAGTAGATTTTAAAAATTAAATCAGTATTTTGACAGCAGTTTGAATCTTTATAATCTTTACTATAAATGACAAGTCAATCTGACTGCTTTAAAATATTCACTTTAAAATATATATTGATAAAAGGAAAAAGGAGGAGAAGACAAGTGGAGTAAAATATTTGAAATACCTAAAGACATGTACCATTATAGCCAATGGATGCCCTGATACTTCATGAAGCTGAATGTTTTTGATTTGGCTAAATATAACGTGAGGTTGTGTTCCTCAGAGGTCTGACTGTGGGGCATCATGGGGAAGATGCTGAAGAAGATACGAGTTTCTCCGGCGGCAGTCAACAGCCTTCACGAGCCTCCATCTACCCCGACTCCAAAAACATCAAGGTAAGTATTCCAATGCATTGCAATGCGTTCAAACTGATAATATGGCATGTGCTTTGATGGTTTAAATGGTACACTACATGCTCAATACATCTTGACCTAACAACCGTTATAATGAATTGACTAGTTAAGTTACTTCATGTTGTAAGTTTTGCAGTAATGCTGCTCAATTAACATCTTGGGATAGTGTTACATGACAACATATCACAACCGATAATATAATGAATATGAAGAATCTGACTAGATAATACTATCAAAACAAACCTAGATAAATCATTAATGCCATTTAAAATCAACTGGTTGATTACAACCTACTGTTCATAGCTTGACCACATATTTACAGACTACCATCGTACCACTGGAATATCACTGACTGCAGCATGATATACAAATAAACAATCAAAATGCTTCCTTTACAATGTTTTTGTATTTGTCAGGTGATTTGGCAGAAACTGTGCATTTCAGCAGCTACATTCTTGTGACAAAAATGCCAGTTCCATTTTGATCAGTTTTGCACTTGTGTACTTACTTGTACACAATGCCATTTGGAATTAGGTGCCTGACTCTGTGTGGGTTCGAATCCTGGATGGGACTCAACCCAGCAAAAGTACTAGAACGTGCTTGACTGAGAAAGTGTAATCCTAAATGTAACATGTGTTACAATTTTGTAATTAGTTCTTCTAAATTTGCGTGTAATCCTTGTTAAGTATTGTTTAGCTTGTAGGAATAAATTCATATTATTTTAGGTTCACTCTGGCTGTTGGTCTGTAAGCCATTAGTTGTTGCCTTGTTTACAGTACTTATAATGCTCACTGCTGTATTTTTATGGGATGTTGGTCAAGTATCCCTCGTCGAACATTAACCTGTTAATATTATACATAATTTTGAGACCTGTGACGGTCCAGGTTAGAATGAACCTTCAGTAACCCATGCTTGTCGTAAGAGGTGACTAACGGGATCGGGTGGTCAGGCTCGCTGGCTTGGTTGACCCCACATGTCATCGTATCTGAATTGCACAGATGAATGCTCATGCTGTTGATCACTGGATTGTCTGGTCCAGACTCGATTATTTACAGACTGCCTCCATATAGCTGGAATATTGCTGAGTGCGTCGAGAACTAAACTCACTCACTTACTCACATAATTTTGAAAAACAGACTGTTGAGGACAAGCTTGTGAGTGATCTGGGGGATGGGTCCACATCAGATAGACAGAAGGACAATAAAGAAATGGAGGAAGAAGGACAGGAGAAACAGGATGAACAACCTGAATGTGAGTCAGCCAGTTTGTTGTTTTCCAGAGACTCAAGTGCAAGAGTTAGATTGATATTGGTATGTAAGCATTGAACAACCTGAATGTGAGTCAGCCAGTGTGTTGTTTTCCAGAGACTCAAGTGCAAGAGTTAGATTGATATTGGTATGTAAGCATTGAACAACCTGAATGTGAGTCAGCCAGTGTGTTGTTTTCTAGAGACTCAAGTGCAAGAGTTAGATTGATATTGGTATGTAAGCATTGAACAACCTGAATGTGAGTCAGCCAGTTTGTTGTTTTCCAGAGACTCAAGTGCAAGAGTTAGATTGATATTGGTATGTAAGCATTGAACAACCTGAATGTGAGTCAGCCAGTGTGTTGTGTGTTGTTTTCTAGAGACTCAAGTGCAAGAGTTAGATTGATATTGGTATGTAAGCATTGAACAACCTGAATGTGAGTCAGCCAGTGTGTTGTTTTCTAGAGACTCAAGTGCAAGAGTTAGATTGATATTGGTATGTAAGCATTGAACAACCTGAATGTGAGTCAGCCAGTGTGTTGTTTTCTAGAGACTCAAGTGCAAGAGTTAGATTGATATTGGTATGTAAGCATTGAGCAACCTGAATGTGAGTCAGCCAGTTTGTTGTTTTCTAGAGACTCAAGTGCAAGAGTTAGATTGATATTGGTATGTAAGCATTGAACAACCTGAATGTGAGTCAGCCAGTTTGTTGTTTTCCAGAGACTCAAGTGCAAGAGTTAGATTGATATTGGTATGTAAGCATTGAACAACCTGAATGTGAGTCAGCCAGTGTGTTGTTTTCCAGAGACTCAAGTGCAAGAGTTAGATTGATATTGGTATGTAAGCATTGAACAACCTGAATGTGAGTCAGCCAGTGTGTTGTTTTCTAGAGACTCAAGTGCAAGAGTTAGATTGATATTGGTATGTAAGCATTGAGCAACCTGAATGTGAGTCAGCCAGTTTGTTGTTTTCTAGAGACTCAAGTGCAAGAGTTAGATTGATATTGGTATGTAAGCATTGAGCAACCTGAATGTGAGTCAGCCAGTGTGTTGTGTGTTGTTTTCTAGAGACTCAAGTGCAAGAGTTAGATTGATATTGGTATGTAAGCATTGAACAACCTGAATGTGAGTCAGCCAGTGTGTTGTGTGTTGTTTTCTAGAGACTCAAGTGCAAGAGTTAGATTGATATTGGTATGTAAGCATTGAACAACCTGAATGTGAGTCAGCCAGTTTGTTGTTTTCCAGAGACTCAAGTGCAAGAGTTAGATTGATATTGGTATGTAAGCATTGAACAACCTGAATGTGAGTCAGCCAGTGTGTTGTTTTCCAGAGACTCAAGTGCAAGAGTTAGATTGATATTGGTATGTAAGCATTGAACAACCTGAATGTGAGTCAGCCAGTGTGTTGTTTTCTAGAGACTCAAGTGCAAGAGTTAGATTGATATTGGTATGTAAGCATTGAGCAACCTGAATGTGAGTCAGCCAGTTTGTTGTTTTCTAGAGACTCAAGTGCAAGAGTTAGATTGATATTGGTATGTAAGCATTGAACAACCTGAATGTGAGTCAGCCAGTTTGTTGTTTTCTAGAGACTCAAGTGCAAGAGTTAGATTGATATTGGTATGTAAGCATTGAACAACCTGAATGTGAGTCAGCCAGTGTGTTGTTTTCTAGAGACTCAAGTGCAAGAGTTAGATTGATATTGGTATGTAAGCATTGAGCAACCTGAATGTGAGTCAGCCAGTTTGTTGTTTTCTAGAGACTCAAGTGCAAGAGTTAGATTGATATTGGTATGTAAGCATTGAACAACCTGAATGTGAGTCAGCCAGTTTGTTGTTTTCTAGAGACTCAAGTGCAAGAGTTAGATTGATATTGGTATGTAAGCATTGAGCAACCTGAATGTGAGTCAGCCAGTTTGTTGTTTTCTAGAGACTCAAGTGCAAGAGTTAGATTGATATTGGTATGTAAGCATTGAGCAACCTGAATGTGAGTCAGCCAGTTTGTTGTTTTCCAGAGACTCAAGTGTAAGATTTAGATTGATATTGGTATGTAAGCATTGTACTCATGCTCATTGAACAAGCTGAATGTGAGTTTTATATTTGTTGACTGAAGTGTAAGATTTAGACTGATCATGGTATACTGACACTGTACACATGGTCATCGAACATGTCTATTGACAGTGTCATTTCCGCTATTCAGATATCAGCTGCAACAGTGTTTCTTTTGACAGTCACCCACTGAAATTTGGCCTGAATCTGATCTCTATTTGTCAGCATCACATCCATGGTTTGACTTTCACCAGGTTTATAGATGTTAACATTGTCAGACACTCCGACATACCGCTGCTCTGTAATACATCAACTCACTCACTTGCTCATGGAGTATCTCCTGGGCATGGGACTCAAACGTGTTATGTTAAGTAAGAAAAACACCCATTGAAATATCCATCAGTGATCTTGAAAGCTTGGTTTTAAGTGGGTGTTTTGCTTTTTGCTTTTTATGATACCACACTCAAAAATATTTCTCAAGCACAGAGTAGTAGAGATGTCTATCACATTCATTCATTAAAGCCTTCATTTCAAAGTACCTGGTATGCAAAATCTTGTCATCTGAGATTTGACCAAAGTAATACCGATGAACCGTACCCTTCTTCATAAGGGCAATAAACAAAAAAGTCTAAACAATACTTCTCAGTTTCTGATTACGATACAGTCAAAGCTAACTCTTATGAAAGTTAGGAGACAACAGTGAGTGAGGATGAGTTTATGCCTTTTTTTAGCAAGATTCCAGCATTATCCATTGTAGAAATGTTGAGAATCAAACATAAACCTTCAGTGTGATGAGCAAATACTTTAATCTTTAGGCTAACCACCATCCCTCAGGAGAAAACAACGCATGCAACTGTTTATTTTTGTCTATTTTGAAATGATGTTTAGCATGCATGAGGTCAAACACAAATCCTGTCCTTACACTCTAGTCTGTTAGATTTATCCCCCAGCTGGACACACAGAATATCCTTTTCAAATATTGACTAGTATATTTGTGAATAGAGTACAATATATGCAACATGACCTGGAATACTGCTGACTGTGCCGTAAAACAACATTCACTCATTGCAGTTCCCAATGAGAAGAATGAGGAGAAGTTGAGGGAGAAGAAGAAGAAGAAGAAAAGAGTTCGGCATGCAGATGAGGAGAAGAAGAAATCCATGATTGACCCGGATGCCACCCTGATAGTTGAGACTTTTGATCCTATCATCGTCACTGTACATCAAGACTCTCACATCAGGTTCTGGAATATGGAGGTAAGTTTCGCACAGATAATAATTATTACAAACACATATATATTCACCTGATCACCTCAGAAACCATGATTCAAGGAATTGGTGACCTTGGTAAAACATAACAGTACTGGCTTTATCATGAAGTACTGGCCACCGAGTCAGGTTATGGATGAGGTAGGTCGATGTATAAATTTGGTCTGAAATAATGCTGATGTTGCATAAATTCGCAGCTCACCCACTCACTATGGATGAGGTTATTTATTTTTGGCAATGAAATTTTTCAAACAATAACATCAAGAAACAAAGAAATGAATAGTAGCTTCACTTTGTGTAATTTTTAAGGTGTACTTTGTACCTTTCCATTCCATATGCAATTATGCAAAGTTGTGAAATGTGCAGAGAGTTAAAGAAAATCTTGACATAGCGTGTGAAATGTTATTGTTTGCTCCCATTTATAGGGACAAACTAACATTCTTTTCTGTGGAAGTATAACCTTGATAAGCTGTGATTGTTACGCAGTACCCAAATGCAGCGACTGTTTTCTGTATTCAGGGCGAGATTATGCGAGAGATCACGCCGATGACACGACGTCAGGGCACCCCTGTCACTGCCGTCTGTTGTGATGAGGATGTAGACTGCCTTGTCACTGGAGATCAGAGTAAGATGTGTGTCATGGATGAGTGGGGAGCTTGGGTGAGTAAGGGGGTGGGTAAGTGGGATGGATTTGTAAGTGGGTGAGTAAGGGAGCGGGTAAGTGGGATGGGTATGTAAGTGGGTGAGTGAGGGAGTGGGTTAGTGGGATGGGTATTTAAGTGGGTTAGTTAGGGGATGGGTAAGTGGGATGGGTATGTAAGTGGGTGAGTGAGGGAGTGGGTAAGTGGGATGCGTATGTAAGTGAGGGGGTGGGTAAGTGGGATGGGTATGTAAGTGGGTGAGTAAGGGAGTGGGATGAGTATGTAAGTGGGTGAGTAAGGGAAAGGGTAAGTGGGATGGGTATGTAAGTGGGTGAGTAAGGTAGTGGGTAAGTGGGATGGGTATGTAAGTGGGTGAGCAGGGAGGATGGGTAAGTGGGATGGGTATATAAGTGGGTGAGTGAGGGGGTGGGTAAGTGGGATGGGTATGTAAGTGGGTGAGTAAGGGAGCGGGTAAGTGGGATGGGTATGTAAGTGGGAGAGTAAGGTAGTGGGTAAGTGGGATGGGTATGTAATATGGGGAGCGGGGAGCTTGGGTAAGTGGGATGGGTATATCAGTGGGTGAGCGGGGAGCTTGGATAAGTGGGTCGGTATGTAAGTGGGTGAGCGGGGAGGATGGGTAAGTGGGTGAGTGAGGGGGTTGGTATGTTGACTGGGTATGTAAGTGGGTAAGTAAGGGAGTGGGTAAGTGGGATGGGTATGTAAGTGGGTGAGTAAGGGAGTGGGTAGGTGGGATGAGTATTTAAGTGGGTGAGTAAGGGAGTGGGTAAGTGGGATGGGTATGTAAGGGAGTGGGTAAGTGGGATGGGTATGTAAGTGGGTGAGGAAGGGAGTGGGTAAGTGGGATGGGTATTTAAGTGGGTGAGTAAGGGAGTGGGTAAGTGGGATGGGTATGTAAGTAGGTGAGTAAGGAAGTGGGTAAGTGGGATGGGTATTTAAGTGGGTGAGTAAGGGAGCGGGTAAGTTGGGTGGGTATTTAAGTGGGTGAGTAAGGGAGTGGGTAAGTGGGATGGGTATTTAAGTGGGTGAGTAAGGGAGTGGGTAAGTGGGATGGGTATGTAAGTGGGTGAGTAAGGGAGCCGGTAAGTGGGATGGGTATGTAAGTGGGTGAGTAAGGAAGTGGGTAAATGGGATGGGTATGTAACTGGGTGAGTAAGGAAGTGGGTAAGTGGGATGGGTATGTAAGTGGGTGAGTAAGGAATTGGGTAAGTGGGATGGGTATTTAAGTGGGTGAGTAAGGGAGCGTAGTTGGATGGGTATGTAAGTGGTGGAGTAAGGAAGTGGGTAAGTGGGATGGGTATGTAAGTGGGTGAGTAAGGGAGTGGGTAAGTGGGATGGGTATTTAAGTGGGTGAGTAAGGGAGTGGGTAAGTGGGATGGGTATGTAAGTGGGTGAGTAAGGAAGTGGGTTAGTGGGATGGGTATTTAAGTGGATGAGTAAGGGAGGGGTAAATGGGATGGGTATGTAAGTGGGTGAGAAAGGGGAAGTAAATGGGATGGGTATGTAAAGTGGGTAGAGTAAAGAGTGGGTAAGTGGGATGGGTATGTAAGTGGGTGGAGTAGGGAGCTAGGGTAAGTGGGATGGGTATTTAAGTGGGTGAGTAGGGAAATTAGGTAAGTGGGATTGGTATGTAAGTGGGTGAGTAAGAGGATGGGGTAAGTGGGATGAGTATTTAAGTGGGTGAGCAAGGGAGTGGGTAAGTGGGATGGGTATGTAAGTGGGTGAGTAAGGAGAAGTGGGGTAAGTGGGATGGGTATGTAAGTGGGTGGAGTAAGGGGAGGTGGTAAGTGGGATGGGTATTTAAGTGGGTGAGTAGGGGAGTGGGTAAGTGGGATGGGTATGTAAGGTGGGTGTGGGTGAGTAAGGGTAGATGGGTAAGTGGGAATGGTATGTAAGTGGGTGAGTAAGGAATTGGGTAAGTGGGATGGGTATTTAAGTGGGTGAGTAAGGGAGCGGGTAAGTGGGATGGGTATGTAAGGGTGAGTAAGGGAGTGGGTAAGTGGGATGGGTATGTAAGTAGGGTGTGTAAGGGAGTGGGTAAGTGGGATGGGTATTTAAGTGGGTGAGTAAGGGAGTGGGTAAGTGGGATGGGTATTTAAGTGGGTGAGTAAGGGAGCGGGTAAGTGGGATGGGTATTTAAGTGGGTGAGTAAGGAAGTGGGTAAATGGGATTGGTATGTAAGTGGGTGAGTAAGGGAGTGGGTAAGTGGGATGGGTATTTAAGTGGGTGAGCAAGGGAGTGGGTAAGTGGGATGGGTGTGTAAGTGGGTGAGGAAGGAGTGGGTAAGTGGGATGGGTATTTAAGTGGGTGAGTAAGGGAGTGGGTAAGTGGGATGGGTATGTAAGTGGGTGAGTAAGGGAGATGGGTAAGTGGGATGGGTATGTAAGTGGGTGAGTAAGGAATTGGGTAAGTGGGATGGGTATGTAACTGGGTGAGTAAGGAAGTGGGTAAGTGGGATGGGTATGTAAGCTGGTGTGTAAGGGAGTGGGTAAGTGGGATGGGTATTTAAGTGGGTGAGTAAGGGAGTGGGTAAGTGGGATAGGTATTTAAGTGGGTGAGTAAGGGAGTGGGTAAGTGGGATGGGTATTTCAGTGGGTGAGTAAGGAAGTGGGTAAGTGGGATGGGTATTTAAGTGGGTGAGTAAGGAAGCGGGTAAATGGGATGGGTATGTAAGTGGGTGAGTAAGGGAGCAGGTAAATGGGATGGGTATGTAAGTGGGTGAGTAAGAAAGTGGGTAAGTGGGATGGGTATTTAAGTGGGTGAGTAAGGGAGTGGGTAAGTGGGATGGGTATTTAAGTGGGTAAGTAAGGGAGCGGGTAAGTGGGATGGGTATTTAAGTGGGTGAGTAAGGGAGTGGGTAAGTGGGATGGGTATTTAAGTGGGTGAGTAAGGGAGTGGGTAAGTGGGATGGGTATTTAAGTGGGTGAGTAAGGGAGTGGGTAAGTGGGCTGGGTGTTGAAGTGGGTGAGTAAGGGAGTGGGTAAATGGGATGGGTATTTAAGTGGGTGAGCAGGGAGGTTGGGTAAGTGAGTACACGAGTGAGTGGGTTGGATGGGATGGTTAGTGAGTGAGGAGCTTGGGTTAGTGGGGTGGGTGAGTTTAGAGGGTGGTCGGGTGAGTACATGAGTGAGCAGGATGGGTGGGTGAGTGATGTAGTTCGGTGAGTGGGATGGATGTATGAGTGGGTGGGTGGTTGAGTGTGTTGGGTGAGGAGTGTGTGATTGAGTTTAGTTTTACGCTGCACTCAGAAATATTTCAGCTATATGGCGTCGATCTGTAAATAATCGAGTCTGGACCAGACAGTCCAGTGATCAACAGCATGAGCATCGATCTGCAATTATTAAATAATTATAACTGGTATGATGGAGTACTCCTGTCTGTGTAGCTATGATCACTCACTCACTCACTCACAATATATGCTCAGGAATAGAGAGTCGTCGCATCTAAAATGATCAAGGTCAGGTAAGAATCTTGATTGCTGGTTGCAGAGGGATACATTACGATGTGGGACGTGAAGGGATTCCTGGAAGATGTCGAGTCTGAGGAACCGGTAAGTAAAATGATGAGTTTGCCGCATTTGACTATCAGTGATAATGATTACATGTCATATCGACGAGGAAGTAAAGCCTGCAGATATACAGATTGTAGAAATACACCACCATGGGTGCTGATAAACCCAGAAATATAATCGGGCAAATCTGGGATTGCTCATTATACTCATAAAACTTGTGCCCAAAAGGTTGAGGCCTCATTATATTTTCAGCCAAGACAGCTCAATAGAAAAACTATATCCATCAATTTTTTTATACATATTGATAAAAACTGTAAAGCCACTCAATAATATTTTACTATTAATTGAGAAATGTTGTATCCTGCAATTTTGTCCATCCCCTATTGGATGTAACTATTCATCTACTTATTGGTAGAACCAGGAACTTCATTTGATACTTGGGATAGATTCTCCCATCGTGCCTGTTGCCACTTAAGTTGCCAAAAACCTAGAACTGCATCAGAAACATATGATGAGTCCACCTATGGTGACAGTACAGACATTGGTAACCAAAACCAGGAACTGCATCAGAAACATGGGAAAGGTTCACTGATGGTGACAGTAGTCACTCTGGTTGCCACAACAAGGAACTAAATCAGTTAGAAGGGAAAGTTCACACATTGTGTCACTGTTCTGTTCAGTCACCAAATCAAGGATTATTATCTGTGAGTTAAAATGTTACATCACATCGGCAATATTACAGACGTTTTATGATTTGGAGACTTCATCAGAAACGTACTAATTTAAATCCATGGTGCCAGTTTTGTATAACATTCTTGGATGGTTGGAATCGGTGTTGTCTCGGTCTTTGCAAGTTGGATTAGCGTGGACTTGAAGGCCTCCACTCCCATCTCGAATTGCACTGGTTGGTGGGTGTGGTGCCACTGTAATTGAATAAAATAGTCAAATAAGTCAAACAAACAAATTTAAGTCAAACAATTTGAAGTCAAATAGGATATACATTTAATATTATGATAATTCATTATAATATTTTCTTACCTGCAAGACCGCTTGAAGGAATCCATTCTGGGTAATCACGGACGCTTTCCATCCGGCGACTACACAGCTCCAATACTTCTTTTCTCGGATGGTTTTCCTACACCGATACTTAAACTTGTCATAGATCAAGTGATTTTCCTCAGACACCACAGACTGCAAAATACTGACTTTATATACTCCGTTTGTGCAACTGTATATTATGTTTAGAACTATCTTGTAAAACGTATACATGTACTAACCAGCTGTGTTAACTTTTTACCTGGAGAGGTATTTAAATAAGTATTGGGGTCATGCGCTAATCTGAAGTACGGTAATCCAATGTTTTCATAGCAATCGCGCTTTGCAGCACTTCTAGAACAACTTTGGTTTTCGCTTAACCGGGAATTGGGAATATTGAAATTTCGCTTTCCCGGGCCGACACAGATCAGTATGACAAGGCAAAAACAAAACTCTAGACTGACTGAAAGTCACTTTTTCTAATTAAAATGGCAATTCACAATTGATAACATAAAGATTTAGGATGATTCTATTATTGTTTTTTGTCTTCAATTTGAGATGAAAAATCCCTTCAATATTACAAGTAGGAGTTAATGTGATTTGAATGAGTAGATTATATTTGTGTTTTAATTTTAATCTTGATAAAAACAGAGATTGTTTTTTCAGCTAACATATTACAAGTTAGGATTTGCTTACATGTGAAAAGACAGAGGGAAATTTAGGGATGTTCTGAGTGTTTAGATTTTACTTCAACATTGCAGAATTTCAGCAAAATTAAAAAATCCAAATTAATTATGTTTAGTGATAAAAGAACATGCATTTGCATAAATAACGCCTATGATATGGTATTAATGAATAAAATTAATGAATATTTACAGTAACACTGTCTCATTTTCTCACTTTGAAATTGTCACGTCAGCTTTCGAGCTCTGGAAAAAAACTTTAATTACTCAAAATTTTCGAAAGCAATTAATTTAATTTCTAAAACTTCATTGCAAAAAGAACTGACCTTTCTGAAATCAATTAATTAAATATAATTTCAAAGATATTTTTAATAGCACCTAATTTTCATAAAATGCAATTAATTTGGACAAATAAAATGAATCTTTTGATTAGAACTTGATTTGTATGACAGTATTTCTTCAGTGATTTTGTACTGCTTATCCACTCATTCAATCATTATCAATGTTCTCTTTGTGCATTATTTTGCAAATATACATGTGGTATATTTGCAGTATACAAAATCATCATGGAGATTAGTTTTTTAAGTTTACAGGGTTTTCTTGCATGTTTGAGAAAGTGTATATGCTCATATTACAATGGTCCATGAATTTGTACATAACCTACCTCAAATTACAGTCAAACACATGAAGGTGGTCCAAACTTACAAAATACTTTCCTATTGTTAATAAATAGAAAAATGAATCAGCGTGCATTATTTAAGCTAAATATTTCCCTGACATGTATGAAACCATGGTCATTAATATGTAGTGATCCTTGAAATCCAATGAATGGTATGATCATTTGATTTCTGAATTACTCACATCCAGAGCCATCTATAAGCTAACAAAAAGTATGATGAAGTCTTTTTAAAACCCACTTTGACATTATTTTAAGGAGCAGTTCGCACATAAGAATGAGTATAGATTTCCACTAAGACAGAAAACATCAACACAAATGTTGAGAATGGACAAGGAAATACAAAATGTTGCATCTTAGCGATGAACAATACTGACTGACTGACTGAGTTTGGTTTTACGCCGCTTTTAGCAATATTCCAGCAACATCACGGCAGGGAACACCAGAAATGGGCTTCACACATTGTACCCTTGTGGGGATTCGAACCCGGGTCTTCGGCGTGGCGAGCCAACGCTTTAACCACTAGGCTACCCCACCGCCCCCGATGAACAATAATACCAACAGAGTACCTACAGCCCAATAAGAGCTGTTCTGGGTGTCTGTTATTTCATCCATCAATCACACTCACTGTTTACATGATAATTGTTTTATTCTTTACAAGACTTGTATTGTTGGGGTTGGTAACCATGGAGGAAAATATTAATGCTCTATACAGAAGTCTTTTGATTAGTTTGTCCAGAAGGTATCTTGGTGGTAGTATAGTTCAAGGACTACTCGGACCAGAAATAGGGTCTATTTGTGCCAGGCTAACCCCAGAAAGTGTGAAATTATGGAAAGTTATTTCCCTTTGGTTTGAGCCAGCCGAAACTGTTTTATGCGAACCTTCTTTTCAACAGGTTGGACATACGTACAATCAATAAAAGATTGAACTAAGGTTTATTTTTGTTTTTATTTCTTAAAATTGGGGTACAACTACTACTACTAATGAATGTATTTTCACAAACATTTCTTATTTTCATTTTAATGTCAACAAATGTTTGGTATCCTTCTGATAAGAAATGAGTGAGTTAAGATTTTTAGTCATATCGGCAGTATTTCAGCCTCGTGACTACAAGTTATGCATTCATGACACATAAACTTAGAATATAACACCTGTGGATGATAAGGAAAGAAATTGATCCAGGCCAGAAATGTGAATTTTGTATATGTACCATAAGGAAAGACTGAAGTATTATATTCATTCATTGATGGTTCAACCGCCTCTGTGGTGTAGTGTCCTCCTTGAGAGCAGAAGGTTGCGGGTTAGATCCCCGGCTGCGTCATACCAAAAGACATTAAAATATGGTACTTGTTGTTCCCTGCCCAGTGTTCGGCATTAATGGTTAAAACAAGGACTGGTCATCTTGGAGTCAGCATAATGTGTCTGAGTGGGCTTTTCATGCTTAAGTGCAGCATGGTATCCAAGGGAGCTAGCACTATAAAACCAGCTTAAGTCAGGGCTATTACAAGCAGTCACACATACACACGCATGCATGTTCGTCATATGAACGAAATATTCTTAAGTACGACGTTAAGCCCCATTTCACCTCACCTCATTCATGGTTCAATAAGTCCTTCATATTTGGTTAATCTGTGTTTTCAGGACAAACTGAAGCAAATTGTGAGCTGGCGAGCTCACCTGACAAAGATTGTCTCCCTTGTCTACGTGGACTCCCTGAAGTGTATTCTGTCAGGGTCAACTGATGGGTCAGTCAGGTGAGACATGGTTTCGTAAATGTAACCGACTTGCCTGTGATTGAGATTCCAGTAAACCCAGCTTCAAGCCCCTTTTCCATCTCTATTCTTTACCCTTCTACAACTGAGGGTGGAGTTGGGAAGATGGGTTTGGAAAGGTGAGGCTAAGAAGGTGGGGTTGGGAAGGTGAGGCTAAGAAGGTGGGTTTGGGAAGATGGGTTGGGAAGGTGAGGCTAAGAAGGTGGGGTTAGGAAGATGGGTTGGGAAGGTGAGGCTAAGAAGGTGGGGTTAGGAAGATGGGTTAGGAAGGTGGGGTTAGGAAGATGGGTTGGGAAGGGTGAGGCTAAGAAGGTGGGGTTGGGAAGGTGAAGCTAAGAAGGTGGGGTTGGGAAGATGGGTTTGGGAAGGTGAGGATAAGAAGGTGGGTTTGGGAAGGTGAGTCTAAGAAGGTGGGTTTGGGAAGGTGAGGCTAAGAAGGTGGGGTTAGGAAGATGGGTTTGGGAAGGTGAGGCTAAGAAGGTGGGTTTGGGAAGGTGAAAGGTGAGGCTAAGAAGGTGGGGTTAGGAAGATGGGTTTGGGAAGGTGGGAGGCTAAGAAGGTGGGTTTGGGAAGGCAGAGGCTAAGAAGGTGGGGTTAGGAAGATGGGTTTGGGAAGGTGAGGCTAAGAAGGTGGGGTTAGGAAGGTGAAGCTAAGAAGGTGGGGTTGGGAAGATGGGTTTGGGAAGGTGAGGCTAAGAAGGTGGGTTTGGGAAGGTGAGGCTAAGAAGGTGTGGTTGGGAAGGTGAGGCTAAGAAGGTGGGGTTGGGAAAGTGAGGCTAAGAAGGTGAGGCTAAGAAGGTGGGGTTGGGAAGATGGGTTTGGGAAGGTGAGGCTAAGAAGGTGGGGTTGGGAAGGTGAAGCTAAGAAGGTGGGGTTAGGAAGATGGGTTTGGGAAGGTGAGGCTAAGAAGGTGGGGTTGGGAAGGTGAGGCTAAGAAGGTGGGTTTGGGAAGGTGAGGCTAAGAAGGTGGGTTTGGGAAGGTGGGAGGCTAGAAGGAGGGGTTTGGGAAGGTGGGGTTGGAGCTAAGAAGGTGGGTTTGGGAAGGTGAGGAAGTTAAGAAAGGTGGGGTTGGGAAGGTGAGGCTAAGAAGGTGGGGTTGGGAAAGGTGATGCTAGGAAGGTGGGTTTGGGAAGGTGAGGGCTAAGAAGGTGGGGTTGGGAAAGGTGAGGCTAAGAAGGTGAGGCTAAGAAGGTGGGGTTGGGAAGGTGGGGGCTAAGAAGGTGGGTTGGGAAGGTGAGGCTAAGAAGGTGGGGTTGGGAAGGTGAGGCTAAGAAGGTGGGGTTAGGAAGATGGGTTTGGGAAGGTGGGAAGGCTAAGAAGGTGGGTTTGGGAAGGTGGGAGGCTAAGAAGGTGGGGTTGGGAAGGTGAGGCTAAGAAGGTGGGGTTGGGAAGGTGAGGTAAGAAAGGTGGGAAAGGCTAAGAAGGTGGGGTTGGGAAGGTGGGTTGGGAAGGTGGGGCTAAGAAGGTGGGGTTGGGAAGGTGAGGCTAAGAAGGTGGGGTTGGGAAGGTGAGGAAAGGTGAGGCTAAGAAAGGTGGGTTTGGGAGAAGGTGAAGGCTAAGAAGGTGGGGTTTAGGAAGATGGGTTGGGAAGGTGGGGCTAGGTTAGGAAGGTGGGGTTTGGGAGATGGGTTTGGGGAGGGTGAGGGCTAAGAAGGTGGGTTTGGGAAGGTGAGGGCTAAGAAGGTGGGTTTGGGAAGGGTGGGCTAAGAGGCTAAGAAGGTGGGCTTGGGAAGGTGGGGAGATGGGTTTGGGAAGGTGGGGCTAAGAAGGTGGGGTTGGGAAGGTGGGAGGCTAGAAAGGTGGGGTTGGGAAGGTGAAGAGGCTAAGAAGGTGGGGTTGGGAAGATGGGTTTAAGAAGGTGAGGCTAAGAAGGTGGGGTTAGGAAAGATGGGTTTGGGAAGGTGAGGCTAGAAGAGGGTGGGGTTGGGAAGGTGAGGCTAAGAAAGGTGGGGTTGGGAAGGTGAGGCTAAGAAGGTGGGTTTGGGAAGGTGAGGCTAAGAAGGTGGGGTTGGGAAGGTGAGGGGCTAGAAAGATGGCTTTGGGAAGGTGGTTTGGGAGGCTAAGAAGGTGGGGTTGGGAAAGGTGGGGGCTAAGAAGGTGGGTTTGGGAAGGTGAAGGAAGGTGAGAAGGTTGGTTTTGGGAAGGTGGGGCTAAGAAGGTGGGGTTAGGAAAAGTGAGGTTTGGAAGGTTGAGCTAGGCTAAGAAGGTGGGGTTGGGAAGGTAAGAGGCTTAGAGGTGGGGTTGGGAAGGTGGGAAAAGGCTAAGAAGGTGGGGTTGGGAAAGGTGAGGCTAAGAAGGTTGGGTTTGGGAAGGGTGAAGCTAAGAAGGTGGGGTTAGGGAAAGGGTGAAGGCTAGAAGGTGGGTTGGGAAGGTGAGAGCTAGAAGGTGGGGTTAGGAAGATGGGTTGGGAAAGGTGAGGCTAAGAAAGGTGGGGTTAGGAAGATGGGTTTGGGAAGGTGAGGCTAGAAGGTGGGTTTGGGAAGGTGAGGCTAAGAAAGGTGGGTTTGGGAAGATGAGGTGGCTAAGAAGGTGGGGTTGGGAAAGGTGAGGCTAAGAAGGTGGGTTTGGGAAGGTGAGGCTAAGAAGGTGGGGTTGGGAAGGTGAGGGCTAAGAAGGAGGCTTTGGGAAGGTGGAGGCTAAGAAAGGTGGGGTTGGGAAGGTGAGGCTAAGAAGGTGGGTTTGGGAAGGTGGGAAGGCTGAGGGTGGGGGTTAGGAGAAGGTTGGTTTGGAAGGGAAGGGTGAGGCTAAGAAGGTGGGGTTGGGAAGGTGAGTCTAGAAGGTGGGGTTGGGGAAGGTGGGAGGCTAAGAAGGTGGGGTTGGGAAGGTGAGGCTAAGAAGGTGGGGTTGGGAAGGTGAGGCTAAGAAGGTGGGTTTGGGAAGGTGAGGCTAAGAAAGGTGGGGTTAGGGAAGATGGGGTGGGAAGGTGAGGCTAAGAAGGTGGAGTTAGGAGGCTAAGAAGGTGGGTTAAGGGAAGGTGGGCTAAGAAGGTGGGGAGGCTAGGAGAAAGGTGGGTTTGGGAAGGTGAGGGTGGGGTTAGGAAGGTGGGGTTAAGAAGGTGGGGTTGGGGAGGAAGGTGGAGGCTAGAAGGTGGGTTTGGGAAGGTGGGGCTAGAAGGTGGGGTTGGGAAGGTGAGGAAATTGAGGGCTAAGAAGGTGGGGTTGGGAAGGTGAGGCTAAGAAGGTGGGGTTGGAAAGGTGGGTGAGGCTAAGAAGGTGGGGTTAGGAAGATGTGGGTTTGGGAAGGTGAGAGGCTAAGAAGGTGGGTTTGGGAAGGTGGGGAGGCTAAGAAGGTGGGGGTGGGTAGGAAGATGGGTTTGGGAAGGTGAGGCTAAGAAGGTGGGTTTGGGGAAGGTGAGGCTAAGAAGGTGGGGTTAGAAAGATGGGTTTGGGAAGGTGAGGCTAAGAAGGGTGGGGTTGGGAAGGTGAGGCTAAGAAGGTGGGGTTGGGAAGGTGAGGCTAAGAGGTGGGTTTGGGGCTAAGGGCGGGGTTAGGAGGGTGAGGCTAAGAAGGTGGGGCTGGGAAGGGGTGAGGCTAAGAAGGTGGGGTTGGGAAGGTGAGGCTGGGAAAGGTGAGGCTGGGATGGTGAGGTCTAAGAAGGTGGGTTTGGGAAGGTGAGGCTAAGAAGGTGGGGTTGGGAAGGTGGGAGGCTAAGAAGGTGGGTTTGGGAAGGTGAGGCTAAGAAGGTGGGGTTGGGAAGGTGAGGCTAAGAAGGTGGGTTTGGGAAGGTGAAGCTAAGAAGGTGGGGTTGGGAAGGTGAAGCTAAGAAGGTGTGGTTGGGAAGGTGAGGCTAAGAAGGTGGAGTTGGAAATGTGAGGCTAAGAAGGTGGAGTTAGGAAGATGGGTTTGGGAAGGTGAACACTAAGAAGGTGGGTTTGGGAAGGTGAGACTAAGAAGGTGGGTTTGGGAAGGTGAGACTAAGAAGGTGGGGTTGGGAAGGTGAGGCTAAGAAGGTGAGGTTGGGGAAAGTGGGGTCGGGAAGGTGAGGCTAAGAAGGTGGGGTTGGGACGATGGGTTTGGGGAAAGTAGGGTCGGGAAGGTGGGAATGGGAAGATAGGAATGGGAAGGTGATGACAATGATATAGGGGAAAGTTGGATATGAGAAATGGGGATATGACCATGACAGATGGTCATTTGGAGCTGTTGATGATAATTTTAGAATGCTTGTTTTATGGCAGACATATTGAGAAAAGAAGGCAATCAAGATTTTCAAGGAAGTCCAGATTATTTCATTTCTTTAAACACAAAGGATTGTTTTATATCTATCAAATGCCATGAATGTCATGTACTGGTCTCCTGCCCTCCCTACACTAGTTGTTCTTCTTCAGGGTGTGGTGGGGAAACAAGGGAAAGTTTGTTGGGTTCTTTAGCCAGCATCGGCCGTTCAACTTCCCTGCCACAGAGGAGACTGCAGGGTCGCCGACATTACCTTATGACATTACGGAGGTGAGCCATCTTTACCTGTGTTTTAGATCATACCAGTTGATGTTCTTCTTTGTAGGACAAGGATTTTCATTATGTTTCAAGTAAATGTATGTGAATGATATTTCAAAAATGTTTTTTTCATATATTTCTGAAAATATAAATGTGTTTAAGAAAGTATTTTTAAGAAATAATAGCCACAATTCTACCATGACATTTTAATAGAAATACTTCATTCTTACTTGTCTGTCGGGTGTATGATATCTGTGTCAGGGTGTAAGTGTGACATCAGTGCTGTCTGTCTATATGGAAGCTAATGAAATGTTCCATTTATGAGTGGTGGGAGACAAATGAGCTCTTCCATTTATGAACATTGTGTAAACCCAGCTATTGCCTAACATTAAAGCAGTGTGCCAATACTAGACAGCCACATGGCACCTGTTGAACTTTTTGTCCAGCAGAAGCATAGTAATGTGTGGTGAATTGAAGCAATATTATGTAGTCACTGTTCCCAGGCTTTTACTTGATTCAGTGGTTAAGAAAAGCTACCACCGGTCATCTCTGGTTAGAATTGGTCTTCAGTAACCCATGTTGTCGTAAGAGGCGAATAATGAGATCTGACGGTCAGACTCGCTGATTGGGTTGACTAAAAACGTATCCCAACGGCGTAGATCGATGCTCGTGCTGTTGATCACTGGATTGTCTGGTCCAGATTATTAACAGACCGCTGCCATGTAGCTGGAATATTGCTGTGTGTGGTGTTAAGCAAGAAACCAACTATCATCTCCATGTATTTATGTGTGATGAAGGAACGTAGTTTTGAGGAGAGTACTGATACAATGGTATTTGGAACAATAATACAGTCAAATCCCAATGAGTCGAATGCCGGTGTCTCGAATATTATGCATAACTTGAAGTACCAGTCGGTCCCGACCATTCCCTGTTATAGTTGTCATCAGTTGATTTCCGGTTACACGAATTTGTCTCATAAATACACACGATGACTCGAGAAGGAAATTTGGTCCCATGAGATTCAAACAACAGCAATCTTGTATACTTATATAGCCGAAGTCAGTCAATGAGAAGTTGATTGGTGTAGCAAACTGATCCAATTAACAAACCAACGCGGCTCACACCTTTCCGCCATTGACGGGTGAGTTCAAAAGACAGATTAGTGATTTTACGGAAATCACTGTTTGTGCTAATCAGACTGGAACTGATAAGGTGCCCCTATTAGTGATATGGAAATCATTAGATAAACAAATGCTTAGTGGAGGAGTTAGGACTGGATCATCTTCTTTTCTACCTCATAGACATACCTATGTCTCGAATACATCGATAAGTCGAATTTATTACCTGGGACCCAGCGATTCGACTCATCGGCATTTGGTTGTATTTAACACAAGGTTCAATTTAAGGCCATGACAATGTTTTATAATTCAGCTAAAAATGTCAGTCCTTTCTTTCACAGCGGCCCCTAGCTCCAGTGACGCGGAGGAAAAGTGCGACCCAGAAAATCCGAACTGCTCAAAAGTTTGAGTACCCACTCATCTTTAATCAACAGAAGTGAGCTTGCCATGTTTATAAAAATATTGTTCTACGTTATATCCTGCGCAATACTATTTCCATACCTAACATGGAGACACGGGTGACTCAGGCGTCTAAGGCACTGTAATTCATTGTGAATTTGCATGCCAGGTTTCTTGTTGGTTCACTTGTTTCTAGTTAGTACTTTGAACTCCCTAACAAACTGAAGGAGGCATATTTTTAAGCCAATTAGGTGTTAACATTATACTATTAATCACTTAATTTCTTCACCATCTCAATCAGAAAGGTTTTATTTGTACATTATGGTGGTTTGAAAGTCTTGACAAGCTGATAAGAAAGATTCGCTGATAAGAACATTCACCTGACATGACCTCCAGTTTAGGTTTATTGAAACAGAAACACAAATATTTGCTTGGTTACCCAATCAAATGCAATTGCATCAGTTACAATTTTGTTTTGCAACCTAGCTGTTTAGAACGCATCAGGAAAGTATTAACAAATAACCAGATGATTCAAGCCACCTCCTGGTCATATAATCTCAATTTTGTTTTTTTAGGTGGCGGCCATTTCGAAGATCGGCGTATTTGAGGCCCAAGTCAAAGCCACCACAACCAGAGGACAAGAAATTCTTTAAAGCTCTCATAAAACCAAGGGTAAACATGCTAGTTGGAGCATCCATATCAATCAGTGTTTCTCATGTCCACCATCATCTTCAGAATTTGGACAGAGCATGAAAGAATCATAACATAAAACATAAAGAAACAGAAAAAATATAAAATGTCTGTGTGAAAATCAGCAAAATATGATACAGTCCTCCAACCAACCTCATCTACCACCCATGTAATAAATGACCCTTCCCTTACTTTGAATATATTTCTCACCCCAAATGTTTTTATTGACACAGGAAATTATTAATTATATTCTGGAACAGTCGGCCAAAGGGTCTTTGTCACAGCTCTGATGTTCAAAAGTGATAATTTAGGAGGCTCTTGATTCAAAACTTCAGAAGAAAATCTCAAGGACCAATTCTCCGATTTTGTTAAGTCAGTCATGGCAGGAATACTTGTGTATGTTGTTTCCCAAGAAACGGTTACTGTTTATGCAAATTGTAAGCATGACTGGTGCCACAAGCAGAGCAGAACATGCTTACCTTCTTCACAAACACGTAATTATGTAACTGGTTTTCAGCGATCCATCCCTACAGCTCTCATGACTATTTTGGTTTCATGCTCCATGGAATCTATTTCGGCTGATGAGAGAGACTGATTGTTCTTTGGCAATGGTGTCAATATTTACACAGTTAAGCATCAATATTATCAGGTTTCTGTGCCTAATTTAAAGAACCACGAAAATCAAATCGGTTTACCCTTGAGCATGTTGTGTCTGATATTTGAGATAGTTGATTTCCAGATAATTGCCAAGTGCTTTATTTATGAATGTGTTCACAGGCATACAATCATCATCTTGAGAGCTCCACAACAGGAGAAAAGATGCAAGGAGCTGTATTCAGGGCTCTACCAGTGTATCGGGTGAGTTTGGCTGGACTTGAGTGATTGGGGTTCAACTCTGCTTTGAACATTGTCTCGGTTATATCATTGCAAATTCATTCATGACTGCTCAAAGAAACTATATTAGAAGTATAAATACACAACCTCATTTAGAAAGTGGTCAAATGTAACACATACCAGGTATTATATTTGGGATAACACTTTCTCAGTAAAGTACAGATTCTAAGGTACTGTCGGAAATAGAAAAAAAACTGGGTTTTTTTCACATTTAGATCCACAATTTATGTAGTTAATATGTGAAAGTGTGAAATATCTGTTAAACTTAGTTCGGCCTAACTACAGTCTCGGTGGTAGGGAGATAGGAAACGTAAAAAAAGTGACTCTACTGGGGACTGATTAGTGCAGAAATGAGCAATGTGTTTTTTTCTAAGTCAAAGTCAAGTTATTTGGATCAGACCTTGGTTTTATGCTAATTAGTGTGCGATGATATTGTATTACAAAGGACACTTTTTAAATGCCCATTTAGAAATTAGACTTAGCTTCATTAGAAATGATAGCTGACATACAAAATAATATTTTTACTTGTGAAACTCTTAAGGATGTAGCTACCATGGAGTCTCACTACCACTATAAAAACAAACAGACATGGGGGTCGTCTCAAAAGCAAAACCAGGTCAGATGTCACAGACGATGGTTGGGGTCGGGCTGGGGTACTGAGGTATAAGCTAAGATAAGATAATCCTTTAGGGGAATTAAACTGGGGAAGTAACAATTTACAAATAATATCCCGTCCTGTCGATCTTCGGGTGGCCATGCCACCATATATATTTTGAGGCATTTAATACGATGGCTGATTTAAGCCTTTCTATGGGTATCATACTGTTTTACATATCTTAACATAAACTTTAGGAAAAAAAAAGACACGTTAGATGTTAATCAATATTTGAGACATATTAAACACACAAGAAAACGCATAGAATATCTTGGAGATGACCCCTTGTGACCGTAGGCAACACGTGCATTTCATGCTAGGTGTGTCGACGGTCCGTCATCATACCTGGCCGAACGACCTAATTGTCATCTATAGTCTGATCTATTGTTTTAAGCAGCTGTTCCTATTTTTTCTAAGTTTTTCCCGATTTTACGAGTAAACATGCTTTTCAGGATATCCTATTACGCATCCCACTGAACACCCAGTTAGGCCAATGTGGGTTATTTCGACATATGCTATTTGCAATTGTGTAAATTTTAGGGATACAGAGTAACAGCCAAAAAACATTTTTCTTCTATTTCCGACAGTACTTTAGTACTCTAAATCTAGTACTACCAGTAAAATCGTCCGATTACCTTTTTGTGGAAGCTTCAGTGGCTGAGTGGGTTAGACGGCTGACTTTGTGTGCTGGTGATTAGGTGCCTGACTCTGAGGGTGGGGGTGTGAATCCTCAACAGAAGCTGTACTTTACTGAGAAAGTGTAAGTTAAAGTTACCCCATTGGCACACGAGAGGTTCGTCTATAGTCCGTTTGGCTCAAAAGCGGACCGATGAATTGCAATCTAACTCGAAAAGTGATAAACATAAAATACTCAATGAAACGCTGATCATAATCAAAACATCATACCCACTCTGTGAGGTTTTTGCATACCCACTCTGTGAGGTTTTTGCAGAATTTTTGTCCTAATGAGGGAGGAGTGCAGAGAAAGGGACAGCCAGGTGTTCGAGAACGGATTGAGACGGCACAGCACAGGTTAATGAATAAACAACTTTGTCTGTGAACGTGCTTCTCGAACACCTGGCTTTCCCTTTCTCTGCACTCCTCCCTCGTAACAAATAGTGAAGTGTGTCAATATTTTAATGATAGTTTGTTAAACAACTTTTTTATTTTTAGGACAAAAATTCTGCAAAAACCTCACAGAGTGGGTATGATGTTTTGATTATGATCAGCGTTTCATTGAGTATGTTATGTTTAGTAGTTTTCGAGTTGCAATTCATCGGTCCGCTTTTGAGCCAAACGGACTATAGTTACAACACAGCTTGTCCTGCCTTTTGATTGACAGGCGTAGGGCATGAGGGCGTAGCCCCGAGATGCCACTACGCCTCTCAATCTCAGCCAGGGCAAATCGTGTTGTAACTAGACGAACCTCGAGTTGTGGGTAGGGTAACAGACTTGTACCATGAGATTTCGGCGGTGTGTTTAAAACAAAGTGGCGGGAAAATGAGTGCACCATATGACGTCATGAATATCACGTCATACGTGCCATCTTAGCTTGTTCACGTTTTTAAAAATTAATTCTCAACCATGGGGGACATGGAAACAACTTTCATACCCAGCAGTGATAGCGTGAATGAGTGGAATGATGAAATTGATGATATTACACTTTCCCAAGTTGGTGAGGCGATGGAGTTGAATTTAAAGTTTGAGGACCTAACTTTATCCCAGTCTTTGAACATTTACGAAGTGAGTGGAAGCGACCAAATTGACCTGGACGTTGGATTATTTGATCATCAATTCAACCCGTTTTCTGAAGAAAATAGGCCTGATGACGTTACTAATCCTGATCCACCTGCTCAAACTGAACGATTTGCGAAAATAGTTTCAGAAGATGATATTTTGCAACGCATTGCTGATGCTGAAAGTAAGAACACTCGAAATAACACAAAGTGGGCGATGCGTGTTTTCGACCAATGGTGAGGATCCCGACAAAATATTTGTGTGCCAGAGATCAAAGACTTTACATCCGCCGATGTTAACAACTATCTGTCCAGGTTTGTGTTGGAAGTGCGAAAGGTAGATGGTTCAGAATATCCACCCAAAACCCTCTATCTCTTAGGTGCCGGTTTGCTACGTCGCATGCGGGAAATGGGAAACATCGGCGTTAACGTTTTGGATACGAAAACTCTAGCGTGTCAGCGTTTCCGACAAGTTCTGAGTACCGAGATGCGAAGATTAACAGCAAAAGGGATCAGCACAACTGTTAAACAAGCTGAACCCATCAGCGAAGGAACTGAGAAAACATTATGGGATAAAGAATTGCTTGGGGATAAAACCTGCCAAAGTCTCCTGAACACAGTGTTCCTCTACAACTGTAAACTTTTCGACTCCGAGCCTGTGATGAACATAGAAGCCTACAAGCTAATCAAATTTTGGTCGGGACTGATCAGATCGGACCATATATCGAATTTCGTGGAACTACAGCCAAAAAATACACTGGGGGTTTGGCACACCGGGCAGTCGAGGCAAAAGTATTGCGTCACCACTCCACTGCAGACTTACCACGCCTGTATGAACTGTATCTATCCAAGATGGACAACAGTGGGCGGTTTTACAGGAGACCCCTTTTGGCTAAAGGAAATGACAACATTTGATTTTCCAGTCAGGTGATTGGTGTCAACAAACTAAGCACTTTAGTGAAGAATATGTGCACTTCCGCTGGTATTCCTGGCTACTTCACAAACCACTCCGGGAAGCGCACGTGTGCTACATGTTTGTACCAAGAAGGAGTAAAAGAGCAGGAAATATTGCAAATAACCGGGCACAGAAGTGCTGAGGCAGTGAGAAAATACAAGCAACCGTCACAGTCTATGTTGTCAGCCATCGAAAACAAACTGGATCCACCTCTTGCACCTAAACGAATGAAAATGGAGCCCTCTGCCACTGTAAACGCGACGTCGCAAGTCACGGAGACGGCGGCGTCCACACCATCTATTGTGTATCAAAACTGTATCTTTAACTTTTAATTCCAGATTGAAAACAAACTTGTGTATCGGAACTGTTTCTGTAAATTCAATTCAAGATTGAAAACAATCTAAATTTTAATTTCCTTGCTCTTTTTGTAGTTCAATACAAATGTTTAAAAATGATGTTCATTTTTTCCTAAATAAATTTGTCAACATTGTGCTTGTTTTTATGTTCTACAATGTATCTCAACTTCTTTCTGGCAAACCTGTTTACGATGACGTCATAGTTTCGGCACACGAAAGGGGGCGGAGCAAGCATTATCCAGTGAGAATCAGTAGGGCGAAACCATGTAGTAACTAGCAGGTTACAACATGGGCAACATCAAAGAGACCGCCACAAAGCCATGGTACAATCCCAAATATAACGTGTTACATATTAGAAGTAAACATGAAATCTTTTTTAGCAGCTGGTTTACTGATATTTTTGCCTCTACATCTTGATTCATTGGTCGGAGTAAGAAACATTATAGATTATTTCTCTTTCAATTATTTTGTTGTTTCTTTAAAGAAAGGGTGCATGGGATGAAAATATAATTTATAAATGTATGTTTTACTTTGCATTTAGGCTAAACTGAAAGGTTTTCCATCCATCATTAACTTATGGTGTCTCTAAGACATGCTCACAGATTTCCAGTCTAATGTCAGTGGCCATATTGAACATGCCATTTTTCACTATTACTTGGCTTTTTCTGTATGCTATGTAATAACATTTAATATGCCAAAGGTATGTTTTAGAAAAGTTACTCGAAAATTTATGTATGTTTTATGAATGACATATATAATACATTGAAGTTGTGTTATAGGTGAGGACACCAGAAAGACCTCGGACCCCAGTGATCAGCGACTCAGTCATGTCCAAAGACGAGAAACATGGTCGGCCGTCAATGCATGGAACTGGTTTAACAATGAAGGTGGGGAGAAAGTGCTCAGTGATGATGATGATGATGATGATGATGATGATGATGATGATGATGATAATGATGATGATGATGATGATGTTGATTTTACTGTGTGTTTATAATTCAAAACCACAAGACTGAAAAACACCAGTTGGTGCAATTGCAGTAAATGATGAGTGTGTAAATACTTAGGTTTTGTATATACAAGGTTCACACTGGCTTGAGAAGGCCTTGAGTGTGAATCCAATGTGAAAAGGCCTTGATTTTAAATTTGATGTGAAAAGGCCCAAACTCTCAGGGTGAGGCACCAAATCGCCAGCTCACAAAGTCTGACCCACTCAGCCACTGTGGCTTCCATTGAGGGGATTAGATCGCTGACTTTGTGCCCTGGCGATATGGTGCCTGACTCTGAGTGTGTATAAGGTTCAAATCCTGGATGGCACTCAACCCAACCAAAGTACAGTGGAAGCTGTGTAAACCGGCACACATACGGGCTTGAGAAATAATCCGCTTTAGGCAGCATACTGGATTGTAGAGCTGACACGGTTACCTACGACTAGAACTGAACCAATTTTTTTTCACTTTCATATACATTGTTGTATAACGTGGTTCTCTAAATTTCTCTCTCAACTCACTAATTACATGTACAAGTATCCCATATTGAATTAAGATTAAATTATCTTTGTCGGCAAGCATGTAGTTACAACGCAGGATTAATTGGTGACAATACATATCCAACCAACTCCTTACCACACGCCGGCTCATTTCATGCCGAGATCTTTAATTGAGACAGCTGCCGGATTGCAGAGCTTTTATATGATGATAAATGTACTAGCCACGGACCGGACTGAGATTTTATGCCGGTGTTGCCAACTTGCTTGATTGGACAGCTGCTGGTTTTGACAGCTTCCACTGTACTAGAATCTGTACTTTACTAAGAGAGTGCAATCCCAAATATAACATGCATTACATTTGACCTCTTTCTGAATGGAACTGTGTATTCATAACTATGATATTAACAAGTTAAAATGGTGATCCCTTTGAATTCATTATAACCATAGTTTAATGTATTTTGATAAACAAATATAGCCATCCTGATGTTGAATAAACTAAAAATGCCATAATGAATCTTTGAAAGCATGCTTTGATTTTTGACAGATTTGATAATATCTATGAAAAGGCCATGAGTGTGATTGCTCAACTTGAACAATGATATGCTAACACAATGTTTTGTATTGTATTTCATATTCGTGTCACCAATATCTGATGCCCTGATACATGTTGCAAATAACCTTCACCTCCCTGCAACCTACTGTGTTGATGATGCTGTTCCTGGCTGCTTCCACTCCTGCATGACAACATCTACTACTTGCATCACTGCACCTTCTCCATTCTTGTGCTTCTGTCATCACATTTACCCAACAACTGATCATCTTCGCTTGTGTCTGAAAATAATGGCTTAATTGCATGTTTCTTTTGCTTATGAACATTGAATGCACCTTTCATGAATATATAACTGTATTCTGCCAAATCTGTAACATTCCCCTCACAACCTTTTCGTCACTACTAATACAAATTTAATTATGTGTATGCTGCTTTCTAAAAACTATGTATTATTTATGTAACTTGTTGCTAATACCAATATGCTAATAACTGATAACTGATGCTGATAACTTACATATCACTGTGTTGATAACACTTCTCACACTATGTTAATTTATGTTTATGATTTCAATGTCATGTCATACCATCGCCACTAATGTTTAAACCACTGCTACCTTCATCAATGCCACAATGTTGTCAACCATCCTAACATCTGGATGACATCGACGTTACTAATGTACATTGGTACTACTTATACTGACACTGATACGACCATTGTTGCAAACTGACATTGTGACAATCGATCTTAACTTGTTATTAATGTTATTAATGTAAACATTTGTAACACTGGTACATATATGTTGGTATGCATGTTTGTACTCACATTTATTCTCACATGGACACATTGATATTCACATTGATACTTACATTGACAATTTGATGCTAACATTTTCACTCACACTGATACTCACATTGACACATGCTAATATCGACACTTACATTAAATCTCACATTGATACTCACATTGACACATGCTAATATTGACACTTACATTGGTTCTCACATCGGTACTCACATTGATACTCACATCGATACTCACTCTGCTGTGTGGTGGTTGTTGGGACGGTACTAACATAACTTGCGGTGCCGCTGATGTATCAACCCACCCTGCATGCTGCCGTTTTGTTTTGCCACCAGTACCGACGCAAGCCATTCAAATATGTCCCTCGTATGAAAGTTGTGTATCTTGCCCTGCAGGGAGCAAAGACTATGGGCCGTGTGGCTGACAAATCTGTTGGACGAGTGGTGAGTAAATTTTGTATCACACATACAATAATTAATTGTCTATAATGACATGTTTCTTGGTTTTTGTATGCCAACAGTGCAATATTGATACTGTTTGTATGACAACAGTGCAATAATGATACTGTTTGTATGACAACAGTGCAATAATGATACTGTTTGTATGACAACAGTGCAATAATGATACTGTTTGTATGACAACAGTGCAATAATGATACTGTTTGTATGCCAACAGTGCAATAATGATGCTGTTTATATGACAACAGTGCAATAATGATACTGTTTGTATGACATATGTGTATGTTAAGGTATGGGAGTTAAGAACACCTTTAAATTAAAATCACTTTGTACAACAGTACCTAGGGCAATAACATTACTGTTTGTATGAAAACATGGAATGTCGATACTGTTTTTACCACAGCATTGAATATCGATACTGTTTTTATGAATGTCTAATTGAGAAGGGTTACTGGTAGCCAGCCCAGTAGTAACCATGCAGAGTTGCAACCCTTAGGTGTTCCAGGATTTGCTTGCTGTGGTTTGGAATCTAAGATTATGATTATATTTTGTCAGCATCAAACCCTTTTGAACTTAACCACCCATGTAAATATAAGACCTTGATGTTATAGGCCTGCCCCAAACTTGCTGACATACCAATATGTAACAGAAACAACGTGCTCAGTCCAGCTTAAATCTGTCACTTTGAGAATGTCCTCACAGAGTTATATGTCATGTTTCTACAGAGACCTATAATACCAGGTATGATGTTTACTGAATTATACAGCGGATCAACCTCCACTATACAGGCTGTATATATCTTCATTCTTTGGTTCATATATAATATTTAGATTTTTCCGAATTGGCTTCATGTCTCATTTAAAAACTATGGGAAGGAGAGTACCTCATCATGGGTTTTTTAGGTACATACCTTTTTGGGAAAGTATTTGAATGAGTTTTTGAGTTGAATGTGATGATGTTGCATGATATCATGAACCTTGCTTGCAAGTATCTATCCTATGAATAACTGATGGGTTTTATACTCTAACCAAAGTAATAGTCTTTTATGTTACATAAAACTCATCAATCTATTGAAAAATATTGTACATTTAGGGGGTATTTAGACAAGGGATACTACTTATTCAATTTTACATACAGGTGTTCCAAGTTTTATTTGTGACAGTACACAACAAACAAATATTCAGTAGCATTCATCTCTTCTTAAAATATGAAAGGGCTATGTAATATGTTTGAATGACTGTTTTAGTACTGTGCAATTGAAACGAAATCAAAATGAAGACATGATAATGAATGCAGTATTTTTGATAAGTGAATGGAGATATATTACCCTGAATAACAGGGGATGGTCAGGTGAGCTAACTGCACGCACTCATTAACACACAGCGTATTGGTCTTGGGAAGAGGTCACTCGCCCATTGTGCGAACAGAACTGGATTGCAATAACGCACTGGTATGAGAAAATGATGTAACTTTGATGCACAGTTGCTTGTGTGAATTCTTAATGACTGAATTGCTTATTCTGTTTCATCATTATCCATTGCTTTGTGTTGTAATTTTTGTCAATGAAAGACTTATATGCTATTAATGATAATAATACACTACAATATGAATAAAATCACTGCTTAGCACCCATACAAATACTTCTATAAGATTACACTCATGAATTCATCCTTTGAGTTGGGGGTAGCTAAAAACTATTTACCCCAACACTAATTTTAGCCCTTGAATCCCCTTTTTTACAAGGCTTAGTCATATTCCTTAACAATCCAAGTAAAGACTTCCTTTGTGAAGGTACCCCTTTCTGATCTTTGGAGGTACTTCATGGTTTGGTGGACTATTTTACATGTTTTGACAAATGTTTTCAAATGTTATTAAAAGTAAATCAATATTTCATCAAATGTTTTGTGTTTCACTCATGTGTGCATGATATGTTTACATTTGTTTTTCCTGTGCTAACATTGTAAGATTCTGGAAGATAAGTACAATTCAGTCATCAGCTGGTCATATCGGAGAGTTGGTGTGTTGTTGCATGGTGTTTGTATTTGTTGATGTTGTGTGTGACTTAATATGTAACGCAATCATTACAAACAATACCCTAGTTATCCAGGGTGTTTTATGTCTACTGTAAGATACATACCCTGGACACATATGTAACCACAGCTTGGTCTAGTTAAAATGACCATATCGCCAGGTACTAAAATATATTATCTATCCATCCAATTTAAAGGCAGTCCTTTCATGATTCAAACAGACAGCAATAAACATGGTCAAAATCATCTTGTCTGCCATCTATAGATGCATCCTCCATCATTCCCTCCTCTCCCCTCTTAAGCACACACTGACAGAAGGATGTAATTAGTATTAATATCAATCACTGGATTGTCTTGTCCTGTATCTTATTAAAGGGTGCCATCATACCTTTTGCTAGTAGTAAACAACAAGTGAAAAAACAAAATTAAGAATCAATAAAAATTTGAAAGACTGGTCTTGGTTGTCTCCCTTGACTTGTAAACAGAAGCAGCTCACCCAGGCCTGACCAAAAACATTGCAAACATAGACATCTTTTTGCTTTAAGTTGTTTTCTTGTTTTGTTTTCAGTGTTTTGAAATAATAGGTGATATTTTTTATTTGCTGTGTTATGCCTCCTGCCTGTTGCACAGAAGCAGGGAAATATATTGAAGAAAAGTCGGATGGTATGGCATTGTCGAATAAGATGGACAACAATGTGTTTAGACAAAACAAATTACCAAAGCACAAAAATCCTGAAGTTATTTATGTGGTTTCTTTGCAAATATACTAATGATATACTAATAAAAATATTTCTACTTGTTATTGATAACAGCTGTGGATTTGTTTATTTCAGGTGTCACCCCTCAAACTTCACAATAGACGGGGACTGAATGGTAGGCCTCCTGGGATTGGTCCATCTCCAAACCAATCAGGCTTCAGTAATTCTATATCTCCCTCCCCCAGGAGGAGATGACATGGATTGGACAGCCATTTGATGACATCCTTTACAAATCACTGTCTGTAGCGATGTCGCCATTCTGTAGCAGTACCTCTGAATCAGCATCAAACACAACAACAGTGTCAGCTTACATGGATGATATGGAAATTATCATCATAGACTGGGTTGAATAGCAATACAGTTTGATCTTTTAGGGAAAACATTGATTCAAATTTCCAATTTAAATTGTCTGTCGGACCACAGGAATTTGAAGGTTTTATTAAAAAATGAAATTATATTCCCTTTTTAATTACCAGTATAAAACAAATATCCTATCGGGATTGAAATGAGATGGCAAGGAATAATATCCATGGCATAAAATTTCAGACTTTTAATCAGAACAGGATTCCTACAGCCCGACAGACCACAACTGATGCAGAATAAATAGGCATTTGTGCATTTGTCTTTTGCAAACTCCATGTTTGAAAAAAAAGTTATCTTATTTTTAATAACTCTGGATTATATTTTTGTAATTAATATTCTATTTCTGAGCCCCTCTTACATACTGAAACAGACACACAGGGTAGTGCTCAGCCCAGATCTGATGGGAAAAGACAGACAACTTTAGAAGACACAAGCAAGATTATACATGAGTTCAAAAAGCTACCATCATGAATATTTATTGCTGCTAGTGAGGTTCATATTGCAGGTGTGATATTATGGACTCAGATATTTTTTTTGATTTAACATTGACATGGACACTCTTCGCTTTTGGTTTCACACACATTCTGCACTAAACCGTAAAGAGGTTTAATATCGACACTTCAAAACATAAATTTAGGTAATCAAGAATTGTTATATTCATTAAATCAAGATCACTGAGCTTCAGAAATCGACATATCTACATTAACTAGATCGTGGTACAACGGCCACTTGGTATATAACTTAGCCTCAAAAAACAACAAATCTGGAAAGAAAAAGTAGAAACATGCTTTTCCTGAAGCCGAGTTTCTTTAGAAGATTGAATTCGTTGTCAATGACCTAATATACCCCTTGTTAATCTTTTGTAGGGGGCTGCATTGCCAAGTCATCTGAGGTCATGCTGTTTGCTCCCCAAGGCATGACAGGAGATTTTGGGATACATTTTTAGGGATATATAATTTGTTGTGTTTTTGACCTGCCCGTTCATGATATGTATTTTATCAGTTTGAAGGACTGTTAAATAAATTGGTTAGACTCAAAGGGCTTTTTTGCATAAGATTCCAACATTTCACATATTCAGGAAGGGCAAGAAGCCACTTGGTACAGCCAGTCTGTTTCATTAGATTTGTAATATTATGGAGGAAATATGATGAACAATGTAAAGCCTTATTAAGTTTTGAAAAGTTCTCAAGAAATAAGAATAGATTTTTAATAACAATTTTTTTGTAAATCTTAGATGATTGACAAGTGTATATTAAGTGCTTTGTTTATGCATTGTGTTATTACTGTGCAATATTTAGGATTGATCAAAATCAGTATTTCTCTATGAGTGAAATAGTTGGACCCTTTGCTTTTCACAATTAGATTTTCACCACGCTCATTCTACCTGGGAAACTGTTATTAAGTATCCATGTATATCTGGGGCCGTATTTGCAAAAATTAGTCTTAAGTGTAGAAATTACTGAGAAGTTTGTGAGAGTTACATACTGCTGCTATAACACAATTTTTATGCTTAACTACTTTAACACAATACTGGATACATCACTGCTTTAACACAATACTGGATACATCACTGCTTTAACACAATACTGGATACATTACTGCTTTAACACAATACTGGATACATTACTGCTTTAACACAATACTGGATACATTACTGCTTTAACACAATACTGGATACATTACTGCTTTATCACAATACTGGATACATTACTGCTTTAAGACAATACTGGATACATCACTGCTTTAACACAATACTGGATACATTACTGCTTTAACACAATACTGGATACATCACTGCTTTAACACAATACTGGATACATCACTGCTTTAACACAATACTGGATGCATCACTGCTTTAACACAATACCGGATACATTACTGCTTTAACACAATACTGGATACATTACTGCTTTAACACAATACTGGATACATTACTGCTTTAACACAATACTGGATACATCACTGCTTTAACACAATACTGGATACATTACTGCTTTAACACAATACTGGATACATCACTGCTTTAACACAATACTGGATACATCACTGCTTTAACACAATACTGGATACATCACTGCTTTAACACAATACTGGATACATCACTGCTTTAACACAATACTGGATACATCACTGCTTTAACACAATACTGGATACATCACTGCTTTAACACAATACTGGATACATCACTGCTTTAACACAATACTGGATACATGACTGCTTTAACACAATACTGGATACATCACTGCTTTAACACAATACTGGATACATCACTGCTTTAACACAATACTGGATACATCACTGCTTTAACACAATACTGGATACATCACTGCTTTAACACAATACTGGATACATTACTGCTTTAATACAATACTGGATACATTACTGCTTTAACACAATACTGAATCCATTACTAAACACAACACTGGATACATTACTGCTTTAACACAATGCTGGATACATTACTGCTTTAACACAATACTGGATACATTACTGCTTTAATACAATGCTGGATACATTACTGCTTTAATACAATACTGGATACATTACTGCTTTAACACAATAGTGGATACATTACTAAACATAATACTAGATACATCACTGATTTAACACAATACTGGATACATTACTGCTTTAACACAATACTGGATACATCACTGCTTTAACACAATACTGGATACATCACTGCTTTAACACAATACTGGATACATTACTGCTTTAACACAATACTGGATACATTACTGCTTTAACACAATACTGGATACATTACTCCTTTAACACAATACTGGATACATCACTGCTTTAACACACTACTGGATACATCACTGCTTTAACACACTACTGGATACATCACTGCTTTAACACAATACTGGATACATTACTGCTTTAATACAATACTGGATACATCACTGCTTTAACACAATACTGGATACATTACTGCTTTAACACAATACTGGATACATTACTGCTTTAACACAATACTGGATACATCACTGCTTTAACACACTACTGGATACATCACTGCTTTAACACAATACTGGATACATTACTGCTTTAATACAATACTGGATACATCACTGCTTTAACACAATACTGGATACATTACTGCTTTAACACAATACTGGATACATTACTGCTTTAACACAATACTGGATACATCACTGCTTTAACACACTACTGGATGCATCACTGCTTTAACACAATACTGGATACATTACTGCTTTAACACAATACTGGATACATTACTGCTTTAATACAGTACTGGATACATCACTGCTTTAACACAATACTGGATGCATTACTAAACACAATACTGGATACATTACTGCTTTAACAATACTGGATACATTACTAAACACAATACTGGATACATCACTGCTTTAACACAATACTGGATACATTACTGCTTTAACACAATACTGGATACATTACTGCTTTAACACAATACTGGATACATTACTGCTTTAACACAATACTGGATACATCACTGCTTTAATACAATACTGGATACATTACTGCTTTAACACTATACTGGATACATGAATCTGGATACATTACTACTGGAACACTGCTTTAATACTGGATACATTACTGCTTTTAACACAATACTGGATACATTACTGCTTTAACACAATACTGGATACATTAACACAATGCATTACTAACAATACAATACTGGATACATTACTAAACACAATACTGGATACATTACTGCTTTAACACAATACTGGATACATTACTGCTTAACACAATAATGGATACATTACTGCTTTAATACAATACTTGATACATTACTGCTTTAACACAATACTGGATACATTACTGCTTTAATACAATACTGGATACATTACTGCTTTAACACAATACTGAATCCATTACTAAACACAACACTGGATACATTACTACTTTAACACAATGCTGGATACATTACTGCTTTAACACAATACTGGATACATTACTGCTTTAATACAATACTGGATACATTACTGCTTTAACACAATACTGGATACATCACTGCTTTAACACAATACTGGATACATCACTGCTTTAATACAATACTGGATACATCACTGCTTTAATACAATACTGGATACATCACTGCTTTAATACAATACTGGATACATTACTGCTTTAACACAATAGTGGATACATTACTAAACATAATACTAGATACATCACTGATTTAACACAATACTGGATACATTACTGCTTTAACACAATGCTGGATACATTACTGCTTTAACACAATACTGGATACATTACTGCTTTAACATATTGCTGGATACATCACTGCTTTAACACAATACTGGATACATCACTGCTTTAACACAATACTGGATACATTACTCCTTTAACAATACTGGATACATCACTGCTTTTACATATTTGGTTGCATTGTTATGTCCGTACAATGTTTAACAGGCCTCAATAAATTAATTATTTATTTACAAGATTATTTTGTCGAAAGCTGGGACTGTTATTAATCTTTTTAATATTAAATTATTTTCACATGAAAAAACATAACTCATTGTTAATGAAGGCTGTTTAATGTCACTTTTAATCAGCTCTTTTTTTTAAATAACAATACATATAGCCATTTGTTTTGTATTAAGTGATAAAATAAAACTTGAGTTTTCAATGTATGATAATGAAAACTACATAATAAAAAATATTTAATTTTCTGTGGTAAAAAAAATATGCTTTTCTCAGTGAGTGACCAGCATAGTTGACAACAAGAGAAAATGTCAGTGTGCAAATTCTGAAACAAATTCAGAAATGCAATAAAGATGTTACTGACAAGAAAGACAAATATCCTCCATGTATTTACTGGTAGTTTTATTAAATTTTAAGAGTTTTGGCTTGTTAAGGAGATTGTTTTTCTTCACTAGGGAGGTTTTTGTTGGATTTTTTAGTCATGAAGCAATTGCCACAGAAAGAGGTGATAGCTCAAAGCTCAATTTATGGCATGCATTATTGTGTTTGCAGAATATTGAGTTATTGATTCCATAACACTTTGTTTTTTATATTGTTGCTGTAAAATAATTATTTATTACATTGTTTTCAGGCTGTATTTATTGTAATGTTGTTGAAACAGCCTGAGTAATTTCATTCAGTTGGGTTAATTTTGTGAATGTTAAAAACCACACACATTTGCATATTTGACGTTGAGTTGAAAATTCACCTGCTTACTGTACAGCATTATTTATTTGTAAATAATTTTTAAAATGTATACGTAAAAGTATTTTGAAAACAATGTCCTTTTTATGTCTCAAGGGATAAGGTGTGACAAAAGACTTTCTACACAGGGTACCTGCTGTCATTAAAGTGCATGATTTAAGAAATTAAGAAAAGTTTAATTATGTAAGATATACATTCATTTGAATGATTGGACACAAACACTGTAAAGAAGACCTTTTGTAACAGTAAACAAGAGCAGCCTTGGCACCAAGCTTATAGTGTTTGATGTTGAGGTGCATTATGAAGACATCAGGTAACTGAACAATCTTGGCTCATGCATTTTGTCTTTGAGTTGGAAAAATCTGCTTTTGTAAGTCACTCTTTGTTCAGAACAGAAACAAATGGTAAAAAGAGGTATCACCCAGACATTTGAACTTTTCTGATAGCTTTCAAGTATTTTAAAGTATTCTTGTAACCTTAAAATGAGACGTTCTAGTGAGCTCAGAGGACCTTTGTCATACCTTGTGTCTGTCGGATCTGTGATATGAATGCAATATAAGCATTAAGCATTTATGTGTGACTTACTCTATATACCATGTACTGCCTCTGTACAGGTGACAACGTTTTGAATGATAATAGGCAGTCCAAAGTTAATGTTCACAAAGATATATGCCAATCTTATAGGTATATTGTAACATTCATTCAGACATCATGAGGTTTAAAGTACTAGTTTGTTAGTCAAAACCAATCAAATTTTACCATGTCAATATACCAATTATTTGATCAGAAGTTAATTTATTATGTATGTTATATTTGAGGGTAATTTGCTTTATTGCAATACAATCATTAACAAAGTCGCAAACAATTATTGTTAAGAATATTTCCTATTTACATTTTTGAGGGGGCATAAAAGGTTGTCTGTAAGGAGAGACATAATGTGAAACAAAATATTTCGTACTGAAGTATTTTATAATAAATATATATTATGAATTGATTTTGGGTGTTTGTTTTATTCCACCAAATATAACTGATAAAAACAAATATTTCTCCTATTGTCAGCAGCGCTTTGAAGGCATTTGTGATTTGGTGAATAATTTTCGACTTAAACTATTTGAATTTATGTTGGACTTTGATTCAAACAGGCAGGAATCTATTTGGTGTTTATGAGTGATGTCATATATAGCTGGAATATTGATGAAGGCCGTGTTAAGTCATAAACAAACAATTATCTGCCTTCGTGGTCAAGTGGTTAGAGCGTCTGCTCGAGGGCGGAAGGTTAGCCGTTTGATCCCTGCCCCCTCATACCAACAGACGTTACAAGATGGTGCTTGTTACCTACCTGGCGCTCCGTATTAGGGTATAAGACAAGGACTGATCGTCTGGGACAACGTACTGTATCACCGTGGGGTGTCTATGCTGAACAACGGATGGTATCTCAGTGGCACGCGCACGCACACACACACACACACACTCTCTCTCTCTCTCTCTCTCTCTCTCTCTCTCTCTCTCTCTCTCTCTCTCTCTCTCTCTCTCTCTCTCTCTCTCTCTCTCTCTCTCTCTCTCTCTCTCTCTCTCTCTCTCTCTCTCTCTCTCTCTCTCTCTCTCTCTCTCTCTCTCTAACCGCCTCCGTGGTGTGAGCGTCCGCCCGCAGAGCGGTTGGTCGCGGGTTCGATCCCCGACCGCGTGATACCAAAAGACGTTAAAATATGGTACTTGTTGGTCTCTGCCTGGCGTTCGGCATTAATGGGTACAACAAGGACTGGTCGGCTCGGAGTCAGTATAATGTGTCTGATTGGGGTACTCATGCTTCACTGCGGCATGGTATCTCAGTGGGCTAGCACTATAAAACCAGCTTAAGTCTGGGCTAGTACAAGCAACCGCACATACACACGCATGCACGTCGTCATATGAGCGAAATATTCCCAAGCACGACGTTAAACCCAATTTCACCTCACCTCTCTCTCTCTCCACTAACACACTACATGTCGCTACGTCAGTGCAATCAACGTAAACGCGATGTTAACCCCGTTTCAGCTAACTTCACACTACTTTGGAAATATCTACGTAGCGTAATACACAACAATTCGATATGTAGCATCTTCAATGGCATAATTACCCTCAAGATACTGGACAGCACTGGGTGAGTGTTATCATTCATCGGATGTACAGGCAGGAAGTAATCCCAAAGTACTGTTCCAAGAATAAACATTTTCAATAAAAAGTCTCTGTTTTATCGTGTTTTGTAAATGCAAGAAAATGTCGATAAACTGGAGGGACCTGAGCGGGAATTTCCTTCATCCATGCAGTGCCTACTTGCTCTTTTCAACTCACACTCCCAATTAAATCTGACAGGTGTTTCCCGGTTTCCAGAAGTGCTTCAGTCACCAAATATGGCTGAAAATCAACGCCACCGCCCCAAAACTATTGGTTTTACACGACAAATATGTGTTGTTGATGCTGTTGTTGCTGTTGTTTAGCTCTTTCCCCGACACCATTTCTATTCCCTTCTTATGTTAACCTTTCTAATGAAGACAAAGGCTGAATGACAAAATGTATTGTTTTACGCCGCTTTCAGGGGTGCGTGTACGTACGTGCGTGCGCGTGCGCCCCGGACGAATACATTTCCGCCGTTGTTTCCAACCAAAAAATTGTAACAGGCGAAAGTAAACAGGCTTTCCAAAATGTAACTTGTGACGTAATTTGTGAAACTTTGTTTCCAAAATAAAATAAAGCCTGAGGAAGCAATGCTCTGTGACGTAAGAATTGCTGGTTTATCGAGCGTGCCTTAGCTCCTGTCGGTTTTCAAAATGGACGTGTTTGGTTTTGATAAAGATGATCAAATTCGCCAAAAGTTAACATGCAGCTTTGTTTCGTATCCAATCGTTTATTAAACAAACAATACAAAATACGAAAGCCATCCTATATACAAAATGAATTCCTAAAGGCAAATAAAGAAAAGGGTATTAATTCAAATAACTACCGCGTGTTCTTCCTGATGTGGATCCCTATGAAGACTTCGCGACCCTACCCTAGACTTCAGCCTTACACCAGTAAATATCACAGCCTATCATCAAAATATATGAGCACTATGAAATATATAATTACACATACATCATTCATAATAACAAATATAATATATATCCCGTAAATGGCTACAAACTGCATTAATTATGTCTCTCCCGAATAAAAGATTATAAAAATTTACATGTACAATTACAAATATAATTATCACATCAGCTATTACCGGAGTCTCCAAAAATACAAGTATACTTGGCCCTATACTTTTCAGAAATTTAGAAACATACCATAAACTACCTGTTTCACCCTGCTTCACAAACCGAACGTATTAAGACTTAAATCGTTGACTGTAACGTACTTTTGCGGAGGAAAGTTGCACAGTTGTCCTGACAACCATATATCAGAGGACACCGAATTAAACACCACGATTCAATAATCAAACAAAAAAAGTTAGAAATAAGGAGTTGGGGAAGTACCATTTCGGGCCTTGGTTAATTTTGCCCTTTCTTGTGACTGTGGGTTTTGAAATCGTTCAAAGTGGAATCTTCCAAAAAAATACCCAACTCAACAAAAGAGTGATCATGTAAACAGCAACAGATTGGGATGAACGTTCTGTCACGTAACCTGTGAACATAAATAACAGTGAACATATTGCACAGAGAAGTCAGTTCTTTTCTGCTGGGGATCCTTTCCCATCAGATTTCTTAGCCGCTTCCTCGGCTGCTTTCCGTTTCTTCTCTTCCTTCTCCATCTGCCTCCTTTTGTAGGCTTTCTCTCCTTCTAATGCCATGTTTTCAAGGCTCTCCACCTTCAAAGCAGTCTGTAACCACATGCAACTCAGGACAGCTACAATATCAGGCCGACACCTGTATTCGTATTGGAAAATCCATAGGACAAGTGCCTTGGATGCTTCTGTTACCTTTTTGTACTTCTGCCAGGGAAAATCCAATCTTCTCTGTTCGTCCAGAACCCCGGAGTTTCCTTTACTTTCATCAAACGGCATTTTACCAGTGATGAAAATGTATAAGATGACTCCTATTGCCCAGATGTCGGACTTCTTAGGTTCGTAAGGTTCTCCTTTGAGGATTTCTGGAGCTGCGTACGATTTGGAGCCACAATACGTCCTGCTTAGGTCCTTCGTACAATCACCTTTCACAAAACCGAAATCACAGAGTTTGATGAAGTAGTTTTTGTCCAGGAGTAGATTTTCTAGCTTCAGGTCCCTGTGTGTGATGTTTTGATCATGGAGATAACTGACTGCGTCGCAAACCTGGCAAATCCAACATTTAGCGAGAGGTTCGCTCAAAGCGCCTGATTTCTGAATGTAACGCAGGACGTCACCATTCTCGGAATATTCCAGAATCATATATATGCGTCTCCCATCATCGAACATGTCCATCATAGTGACAATGTTCCTGTGACGCATTTGCGGCCATATATCTAGTTCTCGCGGCAGGAACTTCGATTGGAAATCTTTTGGAGCTTTTAGACGATCAACTATTTTCACTGCAACTTTTTCACGTTCTTTTGAAAAGCAGTAGGCTAATTTTACCTTTGAATAGCTTCCACTGCCCAAAGTCCGTCTGACCAAATATCCTTTTCTTGCAAGAATTGCTCGGTATGTCGGTCTGTATGTTACCGATTCTGTTTTCGATATCTGTGACCGTTTGCACTCCACGGGTTCCACTTCTGCTTTCATAACCTGAAGCTCTGAGTGAAGATTAGACATGTATTTCGTTTCATCACTCATATCTAATCGTGGACATTTACTGGGCAACATTTGAATTCACTCCTGCCACATTTACACTTTCCAGAGCTTTTTCTATACTCTCCAACGGCAGCCTGTTTGAGCGGAAGTGTTGCTAACTGTGACGTCATAATGTCGTGACGTCACGTTGCAACAGAACGACACTCATTCTATGCCGCGCAATACTGAAAGGATGGTTGCTCCTGTCTGTCGAGTGTGTTAGGTTTGTCAAACATGTAACAGACAAAATGAGTCGTATTGTCAAAGATTTAGTTGTGTCGGAGGAAGAAGCGGAGCTGAAGAAAAGAGGATATTGTCTCGGAACTACTCTTGGAGAAGGTTCTTACGCTAAGGTGAAGAGCGCGTATTCCGAGAAGCTTCAGAAGAGGGTTGCTGTCAAAATTATTAATCGCAAACGTGCACCAAAGGACTTTCGTGAAAAGTTTCTTCCGCGGGAACTTCAAGTATTGAAAGTGGTGGATCATCAAAATGTTGTCGCTTTGTATGATATCCTGGAGATTCACCACAAGGTACAGTATCAAATATAAATAAGTCTGAATCGATATTGCGATACACCAGTGCTAAACTCACTTACACGATGCACGATATCGGTGACAATAAGTAATGTTTTTTAAACTGAGATGATCTAGAAACTGACACTAAATAATAGTTATTCGTTATCATTTCTACAGATTGACAGGTGTAAGGAGGGGCGAAAGCAAACACTTTTGTTTTGTTTTTGTTTTTTTGGGGGGGGACTTCTTTCACGCATTTCATAATGTATTATTCTACGGTTTTTTATCGCAAACAGAACTATGGGATATATGTGTGTGTGTGTGTGTGTGTGTGTGTGTGTGTTATCGTGACGCCATATCATTATGAATCCTTGATTGTTTGTTTCAATTACACAACGCTGATATTCAAACCCTATTAAGGTGTGTTTCGACACGAACATATAGTCTTTTACCTTTTAGAATAATAGATTTATTACTGGAACAAAACGGCTTTTCTAATGTGTTTCAATATTTGACAGAAAATGTCTATGTGTTTTGTTTTTATTTTTTTGTTTATATTATGCTCCCAAAAACACAGACTAACCAAAACCTTTGGTGTGTCGTTCACAAATCAGCAGTGATCATACATATAATGTTTGAGTTTGTTATGATGAGAAAGTTATAGATTAAAGCTGTGTAGCTCTAAACCCAAGAAAAAACAACACGATTCCACTCGTCAAATGATATTCGTGAAAGGACTTTGTCTGAAGTTATCAAAAACACTTTGCGTATGAAATTTTCTTTTAATAGATTAGTAAGTTATGTCTCTTGCAAAATGTATCTTTCAGCACTAAAACGATTCAATCGTACTTCTATTAATCCTTTACTTAACTTGTTTCTCGTATCCTGGTGGTTAGCTCAATGCTTAAGCTGTTTGCATTTGATTCCCCTCACTGGATACAATCTGACAAGCCAATTTCTGGTGTTTTCCCAACTATAATTACTTGGATATTGCTCAGTGCAGCGTAAAACCGACTCACTCACTCAATTACGCTGAATAAATGTATTTGCCACATAAACTGCAAATCACTTACAATAGTTGATATGTCACAAGTTTGTCGAATGTTTCCGCACTGAATAAGTGTTGTAGAGTCAACCAGAAGAGCTGCATGGGTGTGTGCATCGTACTCCGTTGTTTTTCGTGTTACCAGCCCCAAAAATTTGTTTGCTGTTCAAGGCTCTTTATATATATGTATGCCACTGTGTATAACTAAACGGCGGTGTTCAAAGACATACTCTCACTCACATGTGTTTTTATAAATTGAAGAAATTGGAAAAAACGGAGAAGATAGTGAAGCATGTTGTTGCGTTGTATGTGCAATGTTGATTCCGATTCTTATTTCAAACATTTGAAAACGTACGGTTCGCCGGTGTCCCCAGTAAAACATTAATTCATTTTTACAGCGAATCCGCGTATCGATGTCTTAAGTGAGATAAAATCACATACTGTTTTTAACAACGTTTGTTTATCTGACACTGTGGGCAAGCTTCCAGCCACGAGGTTAGCTACAGAGCCAGATGGTCCTAATTCTTACACTTTTTTCTAAAAAAGAATTGAAGAAAATATAAGATTAAGAAAGAACAGCCTTTGCGTTAGGTGGAATACTGAAATGTGACATTTAATCCCGAAGAATAAAAGAGCAATCAAGAGAGAAACATAGAGAGAAGAAACGAAGCTAAGCTACAACGGACCGGCAGAGCTTTGTCTTGTCCCTAATGACGAGAACGAATTAGCCCGTGTGCACCAGAACGTAAAGAATGGGGCGGGCGGTCTTTGATTACGTCGCGGCCCCCAGGCTGTTCTGCATAACCGAGGCCGAATCTCTTTCAGTCGTTTATAGGGAGGATATTGATATTTCTTAATGTTTGTGTTTTCACGATCGGACAAAAGTTATAAGATGGATGAGGACAAGCAAATTCACGCACTCACAAAATAGGTCGGAATTATCCCAAATAATTTCCGTTACTACCAATTTTGCTGTATACATGTTTATAAGTCAGTAACGTATATGAATCATTAATACAACCATGGGCTGACAAAATTCCATGGGAGTTGAAGAATTGATGGTGGTGCTATATGCTAAGACCGTAGTGAGTGAGTGCGTGAGTGAGCTGAGTCACCGGATAGTACCACATTGAAGATGTAATAGTACGTGTTCGTCCAAGTAAGAGCTTACACATAATGGAATGGGAGTTTTAATTCTGTTCGGCCCGTTCCAAGGAACTAATTCAACTATTCCTCCCAATGTCTTCCAAATGCGAAATGTACATTATGAACGGTTTCTAAAACGATGACAATTATCTATTTAGCAGGCACGGGCGTCATTAATCGGGGCGGTGGGGTAGCCTAATGGTTAAAGCGTTGGCTCGTCACGCCGAAGACCCGGGTTCGAGTCCCCACATGGGCACAATGTGTGAAGCCCATTTCTGGTGTCCCCCTCCGTGATGTTGCTGGAATATTGCTAAAAGCTGCGTAAAACCAAACTCAGTCAGTCAGTCAACATTAATCTGCACAATGTTTCAATTTTTAAATCATATTTTGTTGCTTTGTGTTTGTTTATGGTCAACATTTACACATGATGTTAATAAAACTGGGACTGTTGCTGTATGTCATAATGGTGAGAAAGGTCATTATTGAGCATTCTTTTTCCGTTTGCAGTTATACATAGTGATGGAGCATGCAGGTCATGGTGACCTCTTGGAGTATATAAAACTGAGAGGGGCCCAGCCTGAAGACCAAGCCCGCAAGATGTTCAAGCAGCTAATGGATGGGATAGACTATCTCCACAAGAATCACATAGCCCACAGGTAAGTATTTCATCTTGGAAACTATACTGGTTCCCGGATTCTCTGTTTGGTATCGTTACTGGTACCCGGCAGTCTAAGCGAAATGTGTCTGGAACGAACGGGAACCAGTCTACGTGAAAGCTAACTGGTGTTGACGTCATAATTTGATGACGTCATAGCAACGAAATGTCATTTCAAGTAAGTATTTCATCTTGGAAACTATACTGGTTCCCGGATTCTCTGTTTGGTATCGCTACTGGTACCCGGCAGTCTAAGCGAAATGTGTCTGGAGCGAACGGGAACCAGTCTACGTGAAAGCTAACTGGTGTTGACGTCATAATTTGATGACGTCATAGCAACGAAATGTCATTTGTGGTCAAACGCGAACTATTATCTTTCGCTTCTTTGTTGAAACGTCACTTTGCATTGTTTTTTGTGTGTGCGAGGTTTATGATTATTCGTAACTTTTTCAGCTTTGGCCCTCAGCTACAAATTGTAGGACAGAGATGGTAAAGTCGTGCAGAAAGCTGCAATTTGTTAAGAGTTGCGTCCCTTGGCCTTTCCTGAGTTCGGTAATAGTGGGTTAAGATAACTGGTCTGTCAGAACTATAATCATCACTAGGCTGTACTTTATGTCGAACACCTTCCTTTGGACTTTCCTTTCGCCCGCAGCCCAAATCAGTGAAGTTCCGTGAAAGTTACTGGGTTTAATGCGATATTATAGCACGCTCACTCACCCACTTCCAATATGTTTTGGCAAACAGTATCATAGCCTATTGATAGCCGATGCTACTGGAATAGTAGAAATCATATTCTGTTTGTCCCTCTGAACAAGTGTTCACCCTGGACACGTGGTCGATCCTCAAAGTAACACTTCGGGCTTCCAACTTGATAAGTCCTGAAAAAAAACCTGAAATCAGGTTCAAGGCGTTAAACCAGACCCACACTCATTCAGTCATTGAAAAAGTATTGTCTTCGACATTAAACTCATGCGGGTTATTTTCCAGGGATCTCAAGTGCGAGAACCTCCTCCTAGACAGCCAGAACGTAATCAAGGTATCGGATTTTGGCTTCTCCCGCTTCTATGACAACGGAATGACCAGTAAGACCTTCTGTGGAAGTGCTGCGTACGCAGCACCGGAAGTTCTCCAAGGTATCCCGTACTTCGTGCCTCTCCACGACATCTGGGCAATGGGGATCATCCTGTATATCATGGTAGGTGAAGAATCGTTTACCCGCTTATAATACTTGATGATTTTGAACAAATCGATAACAGCTGCAATGTAACCCCGAGAGCCAATAAAGAGGGGTTTTCAGAAATCGTAAAAAAAAAAAAAACACAATTCAGAGACACAAGACTTAGTGTTGCTAACAGTTTCACAAGATTTGTGTGTATGTGATAAATTCTCGTATAAACACATGTTTAAAACTGTCGCTGGACAACTGTACATTAAGAAAAATAGCACCTCTTCTCTATTTTGATGCCTCCTGAATTTCCATGTATCTTCTGCAAAAACGTTCGTATGACATTCTCCTCGTTTTAATTCTATGGATACCTCCTGAAATAATGGTAGCTGGTAATTATACAATTCACACTTTGCTAAGGATCAAATCATTGATTCAACAGAAAACTATGATGTGGGCCAAATTTGGTTTAAACATCTAAGCCTATCGTAAGCATGGATCCAAATTTTCAGTATGTCATTTCATCTGGAGGATCCCATACCTGGTATTGACAGGTGTTGTGTACTTATCAATGACCCGTGCCATGCTTTGCAAAGTGGTTGATTGGTGCCATGAAAACCATTTTTATGGTTACTCATGTATCAAGTGCATAAATGATACGGTTAGCTAAAGTGGCTGTTTTCCTAAAGATGTGTTACCATATCATTATTTATCCAGTTTTAAATGGATACAATTTGAAATTATAAATCTAAGTTGCGAATTTTTGTGATCCTTAGCAAAGTGTGAGCTATTATATTACATGTATATGGGTCTTTATATTGCGCTATAGTCCATCCCACATGCATGCTCAAAGCGCTTCTTTGTACTGGTTCAAGACCACATATTACCACATTAATTCTATCACAGCATGACAGATTAGCCATCTTTGTATAAGAAGTGTTTTTAGTAGTCTAATAGCACGGGTATTTGATCTTAATAAGGAGTAACAGGTCAAACACTACTAACACAAAGTACCAAACGAATTCCCACAGTTTGGCATCTCCAGCGGGTAACATAAAAAATGTTACTCGCTTGTAAGCGGGGTACATTTATTGGCTCAGCCAATCAGAAAACGACATTTATGTGTGGTAAGATAATGATCACAGTACAGTACAATGACCAGTGTTACGCCCCGTGCAATAACCAGTGTCACCCCTCGCAGTACAACAACCAGTGTTAACCCCAGCAGTTAAATGACCAGTGATACACTTTACAGTACAATTACCAGTGTTACCCTCGCAATACAATGACCAGTGTTACCCTCGCCGTAAAACTGCCAGTGTTACCCTCGCAATACAATGATCAGTGTTACCCTCGCAATACAATGACCAATGGTACCATCGCAGACTCGTAGTACAATGACTAGTGTTACCCTCGCAGTACAATTGCCAGTGTTACCCTCGTAGTAAAATTGCCAGTGTTACCCTCGTAGTAAAATTGCCATTGTTACCCTCGCAGTACAATGACTAGTGTTACCCTCGCTGTACATGTACAACTGCCAGTGCTACCCTCGCAATACAATGATCAGTGTTACCCTCGCAATACAATGACCAGTGGTACCATCGCAATACAATGACCAGTGTTACCCTTGCAGTACAATGGCTAGTGCTATCCTCGCAATACAATGACCAGTGTTATTCTCGCAGTACAATTACCAGTGTTACCCTCGCAATACAATAGCCAGTGTTACCATCGCAGACTCGAAGTACAATTGCCAGTGTTACCCTCGCAATACAATGACCAGTGTGACCCTCGCCGTACAATTGCCAGTGTTACCCTCGCAATACAATGATCAGTGTTACCCTCGCAATACAATGACCAGTGGTACCATCGCAGACTCGTAGTACAATGACTAGTGTTACCCTCGCAGTACAATTGCCAGTGTTACCCTCGTAGTAAAATTGCCAGTGTTACCCTCGCAGTACAATGACTAGTGTTACCCTCGCAGTACATGTACAATTGCCAGTGTTACCCTCGCAATACAATGATCAATGTTACCCTCGCAATACAATGACCAGTGGTATCATCGCAGACTCGTAGTACAATTGCCGGTGTTACCCTCGCAGTACAATGACTAGTTTTACCCTCGCAGTACAATGACCAGTGTTACCCTCGCAATACAATGACCAGTGTAATCCTCGCAGTACAATGACCAGTGTAATCCTCGCAGTACAATTGCCAGTGTTACCCTCGCAATACAATAACTAGTGTTATCCTCGCAATACAATGACCAGTGATACACTAGTGGTAACACTGGTCATTGTACTGCGAGGGTAACACTAGTCATTGTATTGCGAGGATAACACTAGTCATTGTACTGCGAGGGTAACACTGGTCATTGTATTGCGAGGGTAACACTGGTCATTGTACTGCGAGGGTAACACCGGTCATTGTACTGCGAGGGTAACACTGGTCATTGTACTGCGGGGTAACACTAGTCATTGTATTGCGAGGATAACACTAGTCATTGTACTGCTAGGGTAACACTGGTCATTGTACTGCGAGGGTAACACCGGTCATTGTATTGCGAGGGTAACACTGGTCATTGTACTGCGAGGGTAACACTGGTCATTGTACTGCGAGGGTAACACCGGTCATTGTACTGCGAGGGTAACACTGGTCATTGTACTGCAAGGGTAACACTAGTCATTGTATTGCGCGGGTAACACTGGCAATTGTACTGCGAGGATAACACTGGTCATTGTATTGCAAGGATAGCACTAGCCATTGTACTGCGAGGGTAACACCGGTCATTGTACTGCGAGGGTAACACTGGTCATTGTACTGCGAGGGTAACACTAGTCATTGTATTGCGAGGATAACACTAGTCATTGTACTGCTAGGGTAACACTGGTCATTGTACTGCGAGGGTAACACCGGTCATTGAACTGCGAGGGTAACACTGGTCATTGTACTGCGAGGGTAACACTGGTCATTGTACTGCGAGGGTAACACCGGTCATTGTACTGCGAGGGTAACACTGGTCATTGTACTGCAAGGGTAACACTAGTCATTGTATTGCGCGGGTAACACTGGCAATTGTACTGCGAGGATAACACTGGTCATTGTATTGCAAGGATAGCACTAGCCATTGTACTGCGAGGGTAACACTGGTCATTGTATTGCGAGGGTAACACTGGTCATTGTACTGCGAGGGTAACACCGGTCATTGTACTGCGAGGGTAACACTGGTCATTGTACTGCGAGGGTAACACTAGTAATTGTATTGCGAGGATAACACTAGTCATTGTACTGCGAGGGTAACACTGGTCATTGTACTGCGAGGGTAACACCGGTCATTGTATTGCGAGGATAACACTGGTCATTGTACTGCGAGGGTAACACCGGTCATTGTACTGCGAATGTAACACTGGTCATTATACTGCGAGGGTAACACTAGTCATTGTATTGCGAGGGTAACACTGGTTAGTGCTATCCTCGCAATACAATGACCAGTGTTATCCTCGCAGTACAATTGCCAGTGTTACCCAAGCAATACAATGAATAGTGTTACCCTGTACAATGACCAGTGTTACCCTCGCAGTACAATGACTAGTGTTAGATGAGACCTTAATTGCTTTAAATTAGATAAAAACAGTTTCTGTTTGTGAACAAATGTTGTTATGTTTATGCGGATGGTCACTGTGAACTTGTAACCTGCAGGTGTGTGCCTCAATGCCGTACGACGACTCCAACTTAAAGCGCATGATCAGAGACCAGACTGAAAAGAAGGTCAGTTTCTCCAAGTCCAAGAAGATCTCCCCTGAATGTAAGGACTTGATGCACCGAATTCTCGAGGTTAACGTCAAGAAACGTGCCACCATTGTCGCCATGTCGGAGCATCCGTGGATAAAAGAGAGCAATGGTGCCCCAACTACACCACTGAGCCAGGCTTCCTCGCCACAGCCAGTCAGCAGCGAGGACAAGAAAAAGGACAGGGTGAGCGAAGATAAACCTCGCCCAACACTTCTCACTAACCTTCACCTTAGACCGGAAGAGAGGGATGGCAAAAAGAAGTCCAAGGACAAAATCGGAAAGAGTGAAACGCCGGATATTCCTCTTCAGCCGGAGGCTAAGGCGTGAGTGCGGTTGCGTGAATGATTTCTCAAACATTTCTCTAACGCTGTCAGTGCGTTGTGAGGTTTTATTGTTTCCTCCATCAAGAAAGTGCAATATTTGTTGAGATTTAATATTTCTAATTTTGTGTTTTAGTTTTATGCTAATGGGTGTATCTGGCTGGGTCTGATCATATTTATGCGCTCGTTTGCTGAACAAAAATTAACATTTAGAATCAAAGGCAATATAATATATTTATATATATTATACAATTATTATTGCAGTTTTGGCAAAATGTATTTGTGTTTGTTTATAGTGTTTGTTTATAGAAATTGAGGCAGCAGGTTTCCATGTATGCATTGTCATGTTTTCAGTTATGTATGTCAGTTGACTTTTATAGCTGCTGTACACCTGAATAATATTCTTGGTTTTCCCAACATGCAATTGTAGTTTGAATACTCTTATTGTTATTTGGTATATCAAAGGTTGGCAACTGTTTTGGCCAAATGATTCCTCTGGCACCAGCAGACTTTGGGGTTCGTCCTATACAGAGCTGTAATATACAATGTAGGGTGTATTTGTTTGATGCCTGCAGTTGTCACTGTTCAAACGTTGTCCTGTTTTTCCTCACCCTAGGGACCGTTCATAATTTATGGCACGGTGTGTGTGTGTGTGTGTGTGTGTGTTTGTGGTTTTAATAATTTTAATTTTCAATTTTGTACATGTAATATTAAAACATTAAGCTTAAAAGTCATGGGGGCATTTATTTTGTTCATGATATGCGGTTGGGGTGGGTGGGGTGGGAGGATCACTTACTTTGTACATACATTCTGGGGGCATTCACATTGTACATGCTTCTCCATAAGAATCATCATCATCATCACACACGCGCGCGCGCGCGCACGCACACGCACGCACACACCATAAATTATGAACGGTCCCTTACTCTGTAAGTGGGCATTTTGCAAATCGTGTTACAAAATGGGTTTTGTGTCTGCGTGTGCGCGTCTGAGCGCGAGTGTGCGAACGTGGGAGTTGTATGGAAAATACTGTTTCTGTTGGAAAGATTTAAATATGTGCTTGTGTATGATAGATTTGTACTGTAAAATCCTTGGTAGTCATCGCACCTTAATTTCCGAATAATATCCTAGAATGCCCACATATATACAAAGGACATACCAATGATTGTTTTATGCAAACTTTTGTTAATCCAGGGATTATTTTTGGTCTGCTGCCATTCGGATTAACGATGTTTTACATAGAGAGTATACAGTGTTCGGCGTCCTCATTGTTTACGTTTAAATGGACTTTCTTTCTTGAATTGTTATTGTTACCCATTGTCGTTACTTTAGGCAGATATATGATAAAGTTTTGCTTTACAGTGTCCCAAGTGTTAACCAAGCGTTCAAAGGTTATCATAAATGATTGCGTAAATTATGATTTTGTCAAAATAAATTTTGATAATAAACTGTTTTGTATACAACGTAAGTACATGTGCTATTTGTATAAGAAAATAATGGATTTCAATTGGTCTACCTGTCCATTTCCGTCACAATAGTATAACATAGCGTTTAATTGTTCCGACTGTATTTAAATCAATTAAATACGCAAACTGTATTTTCAATAATATTTAATTATGACATCAATAGAATTCACATGCACAAATGTGTGAATAGCGCCACACAGAGATGCGTTTGTTAATTGGTTTGGTCTCAAGGGTTAATCGTCACCTTACCATTATTAATAAAGAAATATGATAAACCTCAGTGTCAGTTTAATGCCCCTCGAAATGGCGTTTTATTGCAGTCGTATTACGGTGTCATATTTGGCAACAAACCTCGGGTTGATGGGGACCTTACCAAACGTTGGCACTGATTTTTTTATGAACGAATACACATTAATGCCAATGGAAAAATATCCTATTAACATCGGGCCGGACCTTCAGTATTAATGGTCATTAATAGAAACACGATTTGTAAGGGTGCTTTTACGATGATATGTATCATTAACTTTCGTATCACGATGCTCACTGTTTAAGCCAGGACATAATATGAAAGAATCGAATAAAATACGAAGTTAGTCTGGCTGAGGTTAAGTGAACATTTCGCCACAATTAATGAAAAAAACTTTCATTGAAATTACAGCGGTCCCTAGAGAGATCGCTTAAAACACAATTAATGATGATTCCCTTATTGCGTATTACCGTCCAAGGCTGGAGAATAATTCAAGTGATCCCAACAATAGCTGGCCGTCAAATCCATTCAGATTGCCGAAGCAAACATAACAGTTAATTTTTGTCTAAAAATTCCTGTGTTAATCACCGTCCTCGTGGGGATAACTCATTTAGTGAATCACTGGCAATTGAAGGTGGATCAAAGACCAAACCTAGCCTTCCCGGCGTTGCTTGCAAAAAATCTTAATGAAACAGACAACACTAATTGCCCAAGGCTATGTCACTTTCGCTTAGCCGGAATACAGGGGTCACAGGTCAGTCTGAAATTGACAGACTCTGATTGGCCCGCATCGGCATGATCTAAGATATTGACCCGCACTATTGTACTCCCAATTCCCCGGTGAATAGAAAACTGTCAATTTATCTGATAATATTTCATCTTTCTTATGCCATGGAAGGCTAGAATCGCTGTGTGGAATCGCCGGCTTTTTGATCCAATTTTTGCAATTATCTTAAAAAACACGTCATCGCGCGACTTGGTCTCATTCCCGCCGCCCCCCGCGTCGCTCGAGTGTCACCGTGCTGGCCGAGAGATAGCAAGCACAGTCCAGGGTGTAAAGCGACCCCACTGATGAAATCAGCCTGAGACCTCGGCTTTAATCATAGCATCTGTGTCGTTAATTTATAGGAGTTTCTCAGGCTCTATCTACAGATTTGATTCAAAGGGCATCTTGTATTAAACATGAATTCCGAATGTTATAAATTGTTTTGCTCTCTTGATTTCAGCTGATTACAAGATAGTGAAAAATAGTTTGTTTTTGACAAAAAGAGCGTTTTGGTTTCTGTGATCATTTTGATTACTTTTTGTTGAAAACGCTCGAACGCCAGATTAATTACGCTTTGTCAATATTTTCTTTCTAAGTTATATTAATACCTATATAATTTATTTATAGCTACTTTTATAATTCCACAGTATATATATGAGACCAACAAAGTGGAAAATGGAGGTAAACATATTTCTAAGAATACTTTTGATTGTACTTTTTGAAATTAAGTTTAGTTATTTTTCTAAATATATGATTAAAATAATATGCATAGTATTTCTCAGGATCAGTTTATGAAAGGGTGCGTGTACATGAAATCTCGGGAGTTAGAGTGACCTTTGGTTTAATGCGTCAACGACCGTGGTTTGATTCCCATAGTGTACGATGTGTGAAGTCCATCCTTCACGTCTCCTGCTGGGGCGGGATAGCACCATACTAACACACGCTCTGGGGTTTAATGACACGTTAACATTGGTTCTAATGAACAGCAGGCCTTATATTATTCTACATTTTACGAACCCTGCCGATTTAGGTAATTTCGGCCCTGAATCGATATTTGTTCAAGCATCTTTATTCACTATATTTGTCAGTAGGTATTGACAAAAAAAATCAGTTTAAATTTTATCTTCAATAACTCCGACGTTCCTTGCCAGATATGCATGAATGTTCGATACGCTTATAGCTGTACAACTGAGTGAGTAAGTGAATGTGTGAGATATTCGCACATCCCGACCCAGAGCTCTGTAACCTCTACACCCAAAACCCAGAACTCTATAACCACTACACCCCACGCCAGAGCTCTATAAACACTACACCCCACCCTAGAGCTCTATAACCAATACACCCCACCCCAGAGCTCTATAAACACTACATCCCACCCCAGAGCTCTATAACTACTACACCCCACACACAGCTCTATAACCACTACACCCCACCTTAGAGCTATATAACCACTACATCCCACCCTAGAGCTCTATAACTACTACACCCTACCCCAGAGCTCTATACCCACTACACCCCACCCCAGAGCTCTATAACCACTACACCCCACCCCAGAGCTCTATACCCACTACACCCCACCCCCAGAGCTCTATAACCACTACACCCCACCCCAGAGCTCTATACCCACTACACCCAACCCCAGAGCTCTATAAACCACTCACTACACCCCCCCACCCCAGAGCTCTATAACCACTACACCCCCACCCCAAAGCTCTATAACCACTACACCCCACCCCAGAGCTCTATAAACCCACTACACCCCAACCCCAGAGTTCTATACCCACTACACCCACCCTAGAGCTCTATAACCACTACAACCCCCACTCTACTACCACTCTACCCCACCCCAGAGCTCTATAACCACTACACCCAACCCCAGAGCTCTATAACTACTACACCCCACCCCAGAGCTCTATAACCACTACACCCCACCCCAGAGCTCTATAACCACTACACCCCAACCCCAGAGCTCTATAACCACTACACCCCACCCCAGAGCTCTATAACCACTACACCCCACCCCAGAGCTCTATAACCACTACACCCCACCCCAGAGCTCTATAAACCTACACTACATCCCACCCCAGAGCTCTATAACCACTACACCCCACCCCCCCCAGAGCTCTATAACCACTACACCCACCCCAGAGCTCTATAAACACTACACCCCACCCCAGAGCTCTATAACCACTACATCCCACCCCAGAGCTCTACACTACATCCCACCCCAGAGCTCTATAACCACTACACCCCACCCCAGAGCTCTATAACCACTACACCCCACCCCAGAGCTCTATAACCACTACACCCCACCCCAGAGCTCTATATATCCACTACATCCCACCCCAGAGCTCTATACCCACTACACCCAACCCCAGAGCTCTATAACCACTACACCCAACCCCAGAGCTCTATAACCACTACACCCCACCCCAGAGCTCTATAACCACTACACCCCACCCCAGAGCTCTATAACCACTACACCCCACCCCAGAGCTCTATAAACACTACACCCCCACCCCAGAGCTCTATAACCACTACACCCCACCCCAGAGCTCTATAACCACTACACCCCACCCCAGAGCTCTATAGCCACTACACCCAACCCCAGAGCTCTATAGCCACTACACCCAACCCCAGAGCTCTATAACCACTACACCCAACCCCAGAGCTCTATAGCCACTACACCCCTACCCAGAGCTCTATAACCACTACATCCCACCCCAGAGCTCTATAGCCACTACACCCCACCCCAGAGCTCTATAGCCACTACATCCAACCCCAGAGCTCTATACCCA